TTATTCTAGCTATATATTTTTCATATATACCGATGCGTGTTGTATAAACGTAGAACTGTAAAAGTTTGCATGTTTTATACAGTATACATATAAACAGGAGTATATACGTACGTATACGTACTCCATCAATCGGTGTAGTAGAGAGATCGAAAGCAATAAATTCTGGACCTAAACCACCTATTAATTCTTTCACCACAAGTCATGAACAGCTCACAAAAACGGCTCTGTGCAGTACCGGCCGCTCCTGTTGCTCTGCCTGCTGTTGCTGATAAAAACCAAACACACCACTTACCGGCTGTGTGTTTCTTCTCCCTCTTTTTTTTTCACCCTGTCTTCTCCTGTATATATAATATATACATGTGTCCATTTACCTTTAGGCCCGGTTTAGTTCCTAAACAAAATTTTTTCACCCTATCACATCAAATGTTTGGACACATGCATATATATAGTATTAAATATAAAAAAATTAATTACACAAATTACGTGTAAATTACGAGACGAATATTTTAAGTCTAATTGCGCCATAATTTGACAATGTGGTGCTATATTAAATATTTTGCTAATGACGGATTAATTAGGCTTTATAAATTTATCTCGTAGTTTACAGGCAGAATTTGTAATATTTTTTGTTGTTAGAATATGTTTAATACTTTTAAATATATATCCGTATATCTGATGTGACACACAAACATGGCCTTAATTAGTTCTGAAAGAGCTTGCTACTAGTGTACGTACACGTTCACCCTCCATCTATAATCTGTTTAGTCTTTACAGTATGCTACGTACGTTGACACGTACGTGCAGTACGTGTATATACATATGGTCGTGTGTTTGACATAGTTCTAGATTTACGAATATTTTTTAGAGTTGTGTATCTTTTGAATATTTTTTTAGAGTTGAGTGTTTCTGTTCCACGGATTTATATATTTAATTTGGAGAAGTGATCATATTGATAAACATTTTCATGAATAGTTTTGTTCCTATTTTGGAGAAAATATAGAATTTTAAATTGTTATAATTTAACTTGCAAATTCTAAATTTGACATACCCCACCACCTCACCTGTTCATGCCATGCAATTGCGAGGGGTTATATTGGGATTATTGGAAATTAGTACTGTAAATCCCTAATTCTATTTTTATGTTCATTGAAAAAGTATATCTCTATCTTATATATGCAACTAGATGTTACCCACTACTACATAAATGATCTTTGCAGATACCCCTTTTATTTTTACAAGCAGACCAAAAGAACATCCATATGCAAAATGATTTTAGGGTGTCGAGAAAAGACCCGCTTGGAAAAAATGATTTTCGTAGGTGGGCTCCTTAAGAGCCCCGCCTGCAAAATATAGTTACTTCGCACACGGACTTTTTTGATACCTGGGCAAAAATATAGCATCGGCTTCCCTCTCCTTTAATTTCTCTCCTACGTACCTCTCCGCTTCTCTTCCACTCCTCTCCCTTATCCTCATTTTTCTCCACTCCGATCTCCTCATTTCTCTTAGTGGCAGCGACAAGAGACGGAGGCAGCGATGACGATCTTCTGGAGGCGGCGATAGCGGGTGCGGCGCTGGGTGCTCAACGATGGAGGTTTGTGAAGGCGGCAGCGACGATGGCGGGCGCGGATCTGGGACCTCGGTGGTGGTGGATCTAGTGCTCGAAACCTCAGCGACAACGGATCTAGTGCTTGGGACATCAGTGGCGGCGGAGCTGGTGCTGCCGGCTTCGGGAGCTGCAGGACCTCTGGCAATGATGGCGAACGATGCTCAGGAGCTCTGTGACAACGATGACGGAGGCAACAATGGGCTGCGGTAACCACGACGACTGCACTTGTGAATCGAGGCTATCTAGGGTTTCAATTTTGGGATTTTTTGTGAGTTCTTTTCTTTTCGCATGTGGACGGCTTAACTGACCGCCACGAAAATCGCTTTTCGTGCATGGATGCCCTACCTGACTAGGAAAATACCAATTTTTACAGACATGTATGGGGAGGCGGCCCACCCAGCTGCTTGTGAAAATAGGTTTTAGCCGCTTGCGAAAATCATTTCTGTACTAGTGGTGTCGTTTGTTATACATGTGACCAATATATTTACATATTTTGTTGTAGTATGGATTTTCACACCACCAACCTTGTATATGGTTTTTCTTCTTCTTCCATCGATGTGGTAATTATTATGTCTCCAAAGTAAATTATGGTTTATTTGATGGAACTCACACATTCGGGTTTAAGTATCCAACTCAGTATATGTACTTGTGTTACAACTATATTTTTTCAGTGGTAGGTGATACACTCATCAACAGTGAGGTACTTAGACCCTGTTTAGATGGGACTAAAACTTTTAAATCCCTATCACATCAGATGTTTGGATACTAATTATAAATATTAAACGTAGATTATTAATAAAACCCATCCATAATCTTGGACTAATTCACGAGACGAATCATTGAGCCTAATTAATCCATGATTAGTCTATGTGATGCTACAGTAAACATTCTCTAATTATAGATTAATTAGGCTTAAAAAATTTATCTTGCAAATTAGCTTTCATTTATGTAATTAGTTTTGTAAGTAGTCTATATTTAATACTCTAAATTAGTGTCTAAATACAGAGACTAAAGTTAAGTCCCTGATCCAAACACCACCTTATTGTGACTCCATAAATCTTAAGTTATGGAGAAAATCCCCTGTGTACCCCTGAAAGTTCACCTAATCTCTTCTATACCCTTGAATTTTGCTCAATCCCTTGGATACCCCTGAATTTTAGTTTGGATCCCTTCCATGCCCTTTCCGCTAGTTGACCGTTAGTTGACCGTTAAATTCTTATGAAAAAGTCCATTTTGCCCTTTGGTATAAAGAAGCATATAAATTAATATAGTATATTGTTGGAGCATAGAAATGTGTTATATGAGACTATTATGTTTATGAGATAGTTATGCACCATATTATTTGCGATAAATATACTTTTAGATATGACATAAAAAGTTAATTCTTATTTATTTTTTTAGCATATGTGTTCTGATAGTAATAAACAAATATGTTATATTACTATGAAAACACATATGCTACATAAAAGAACTTTTAATAACTAATAAATAAGTATTAAATTTTTATATCATATGTAAAAGTAAATTTGTCACAAATAATATGGTGCATCACAGACTCATAAATATAATAGTCTCATCCAGTAAATTTTTACATTCCAACAATGTACTTCATTAATTTATTATGTTTCTTCATAGGAAAGGGCAAAATGGACTTTTTCAAAAGAATTTAACGGTCAACTAACTGTCAACTAGCGGAAAGGGCATGGAAGAGATCCAAACTAAAATTTAGGGGTATGTAAGGGATTGAGCAAAATTCAGAGGTATAGAAGGGATTAGGTGAACTTTCATGTGTACGTAGGGGATTTTCTCTAAGTTATACGTTCATAAGGATCAGGTCTGACCTAGTCGATTAGATCAACTATGTGTCAACGTACGCTTGTACCGTCAAATGAGAACTATGGTTTCTTTTAGTCTTACTTTAATATAATAATCTTTTGTACGCAGTTGCCCCTACCGCTCGAGATATAAATGCATGTGAGTTGTATACAACTAAATTATATTTATTATATACATTTCAGTTTCGACTAAAAACTTTTTAAGTTATTATTGGCTAGTCTCTGTCGTTCGTACAAGCCTCTTATTTTATTTTAGTAACCCACTTCTTTTTTTTCACAACTGTACTATACTAGAGCCATCCCCAATGCAACAAGGTAATTTTAATTGATGACTAAAATAGCTAATATGATAACACATTGTTTCATGTTTGTGGTTTTATAGGCAATACATATAAGGAAACAGCGTATAGAAGGTTTCATCTAAGATACAAACCCATTTCATCTCTCACTTCATTATTATTTTTTACACATCATCCAAATTACTGATATGGAGTAGTACCTAATTTAATAGTAGAACGAAACTTGTATTGGAAGTGTCCTAATTGGCGACTCTTCATTCTGATCTAAACCGCATGCACGTAACTTAAAAAGTTATCCAATTCCATAAAAATGGTCCAAACTTTTTTTATTAAGATACAAAGGTGGTGTTTGAATCTCCTGAAAATGAAGATGAAGATGAAGATGAAGATTAAGTATTTTACGCAAAATGAGGTGATAATAACGTGTGATTAATTAACTTTTAATTATTACAAACTTGAAAAATGAATTAATCTGATATTTTAGAACAACTTTCATATAAAAAGTTTTCGCACGAAATACACCGTTTAGTAGTTTGAAAAGCGTGCCACGAAAATCTAAAATTTAATCAACTCCTTGTAGTAAAATCTAAATTTTACTTATTTTTTTAACTGCTAAACTGTACATTTTTTAACTTAAAAAACTTTATATATAGAAGTTGCTTTAAAATATAAAACAAATCCATTTTAAGTTTAAAATTATTAAAACTTAATGACCTTCTTGTTTTACGTGTCCATACTTAATCTTCATCTGTAGTGAATCCAAACAAACTAGAGAAGAAACAAAAAAGAGATCAAAAAACTTTGCATGGTGTATGATAAATACTGAGCTAGTATCCGTGTAGTGTAAGAGGGCCGGTGTCAGACGTCACTGATGACTTTCAGCAAAACGTACGATAAAACCGCTTATCCATATATATTATTACACTACGATCTAACGACTATAACCAGTATACTACTATATATCGGTAGATATACATATTACGCACCAACGAACCAATTTTCCCACGCGCGCGCCAGGCCATGCATGACGTACGAACTGCCGTATACATCTACGCGTATGTACGTACACACCTACTAGACACGTAGTCTACATCGTATACCAATCTCTCTCTACCACTGCTAGCTGCGAGTACAGGAGAGAAGAGAGAGAGTAGAGAGATGCAAGAAGGGGCAGTGCGTGTCATGCAATAACTCCACGCTACGCCCGCAATGAATGCCCATTGCACCCTCTCCGCTACTCTCCCCGCAATTACTCCCCCCCTCTTCAATACCCCGCACCCTCCACCCTCCTCACCTCCTCCCCCTCTTCCTTCTTCCTCCTCCCGCCGCCGCCACCGCCGCACTCTTCTTCCTCCTCACATCACTCCACTCTGATCTCTCTCTTTCAGACAGTAGCAAGAGCAGCAGCAGAGAGAGAGAGATTTTTATGTGTGTTCTTGACGACTGCGTGATCGGCTGTGCCGCCAGATATAGATAGACCGTACAACTGCAGCGCTAGCTATATATATGTTTCGAGTGGGGTGTGTGTTTGTATATCGATTGTTGATTTGTTGGTAGATCTGAGCTCTGCGAGTGTTGCTTCGTCCATGGTGGATCTCTAGCTATTTAGGGTTGTTGGTCTAGCTAGATAGCTATATCTTTCTCTCTCTCTAGTACTGGTGTGTGCATATATTTGTATATGCTCTGAGGGAGAGGGAGAGGATGATGATCCCTGGCCGGAACATGTCGCCGGCGATGATCGGCCGGCCCAACGGCGGCGGCGGCGGCGGCGGCGTCGCCTACGCTTCTTCTTCCTCGGCGCTCTCCCTCGGCCAGGTATAGTAGTAGTGTCAGATGTGTTGGTGAAGGATTATTTGTGTTCAAATCCGTTTGATTTGATTTGTTTGGTACTTAGCTCTTATAATGCTTTGCTTTCTTGTTAATTTGTGATGATCCTTCTGAATTAATCCTTTGCATATATGTGGTAAATCCTAGAAATTAATTACTGCCTTTGCTGTGCTGATTTCCTGCACTTAAGTGTTCTCCACCAGTAAGTGCTAAGTACCTCTTGTTATTTGGTGTGTGCCTGTCAGGCAGGCTGTCACACTGTCATCTATCACTAATTAACTCACTTCCTATGATGAATGTATTCAATTGTACATACCATTTACATATATGGAGTTAGGCCAGAGAGAGTGTTTAGTTTTCAGAAAGCGAATGCATTTAAGTAGGGATTAATAAATACCAAAAGGGGGATCCATTCATATACATGAGCTACTTGAGCTACATACCTGATGAGAAAAATGTATACATGGAGCATGCATATTAATATTGGCTTTGTGTGTCTCTCTGCACTTGCTGCACTTGTAAAGGAGTAGTGATGATGTGCAAAATTAAACAGCTTCAGTAGTACATATGCACCCTACTCTCTTGTGCATAGCATTAACTTGTGCCATCCTTTATTTCTCAAGCTGTGTTCCTCCCTAATTTAGGTGCTCCTTTTTCTCAATCCTATTTTGCAAAACATTTATTGCTTTGCTACCCCTGGATGAACCGGATTTTTGCACACTGTTTCCTAGTCAGACTCAGCACTAGTACCGCTGTTGTTAATTTCTCTTGGTCCTATCTCATTTCAAATGCTCAATTTCAAACTTCCCCGGTTTTATTTTACTTCAGAAGCTAAACAGTGAAATTATTAAGCAATTTTCCCTAGATAATATATCCAGAATTATAACTCTCCCTTGCATTAGCTTGTTTATTTTGATGTGTGCAAGCGCAGGAGAGATAATGTGTGTCTCCCTAGTTAGTTTCTTTTTAATCTTTAGAAAATAAACTTTACCTATCAGATTTTTAGTACAAGTTAATTAGAACAGCAAGAAGTCACCAATGTCATACTCCACAACTAGATATAGATCAAAATCACTTGTCTGCATCTCCAATATAATACATATATAATGTAATCCAAATTATATTCACACCTAGTCTTACTTAAGCTGAATTACAGATATATATGCTCGATCATATCATGAAACTGCACACAGTGCATATTTTCTAGAACTCTAGCTATATATGAACAATTATTTGCTACTCTTTCTGCAATATTATCCTTGACTGTTGCACAGCTCATGAATGTTAAATCACAATGCAGAGCTTGTTGGATGGACACCACCATCAGCTGCCATCACTGCTGCAGCAGCACCACAATGGACACCATCTGCTTGATCAGCACCAGCAGCATCAGCATCAGCTTCCCCCACAGGCGACGACGACGAGCGAGAGCGACGGCCGTGCCCCTCGCGACGAGCTGGAGATGAGCAAGTCCGGTGGCAGCGACAACCTGGAGAGCGGCGGTGGCGGTGGCGGAGGTGGCTCCGGTGGTGATCAGGACCCCAACCAGCGCCCCCGCAAGAAGCGCTACCACCGCCACACCCAGCACCAGATCCAGGAGCTCGAGGCCTTCTTCAAGGAGTGCCCCCACCCTGATGACAAGCAGCGCAAGGAGCTCAGCCGCGAGCTCGGCCTCGAGCCCCTCCAGGTCAAGTTCTGGTTCCAGAACAAGCGCACCCAGATGAAGGTAATATACTAATCCGTGCATCCATCGTATATCTTACACGTCATGTGAACGTGCATCGGTTCATAATGTTGTGTTTATAAATGTTAATGGTATGTGTGGTTGCACGGGTTTGTATGTTGCAGACGCAGCATGAGAGACACGAGAACAATGCGCTGCGCGCAGAGAACGAGAAGCTGCGGGCAGAGAACATGAGGTACAAGGAGGCGCTTGCCAACGCGTCCTGCCCCAACTGCGGCGGTCCGGCCGCCATCGGCGAGATGTCCTTCGACGAGCACCACCTCCGCCTCGAGAACGCGCGCCTCCGCGACGAGATTGACAGGATCTCCGCCATCGCCGCCAAGTACGTCGGCAAGCCCGCCGCGGCCGTCTCGGCCGCGTACCCGCCGCTGCCGCCGTCGAACAGGTCGCCGCTCGATCATATGGGCATTCCCGGCGCTGGCGCCGACGTGTTCGGCGCCGACTTCGACAAGCCGCTCGTCATCGAGCTCGCCGTGGCCGCCATGGAGGAGCTCGTCAGGATGGCGCAGCTCGGCGAGCCGCTCTGGGCGCCGGCGCTCGGCGGCGAGGCGCTCGGCGAGGAGGAGTACGCGCGCACGTTCCCGCGCGGGCTAGGGCCCAAGTCGCCGGAGCTCCGGTCGGAGGCGTCGAGGGAGACGGCGGTGGTGATCATGAACCACGTCAGCCTCGTGGAGATGCTCATGGACGTCGGGCAGTGGACGGCGCTCTTCTCGAGCATCGTGTCGCGCGCGGCGACGCTGGAGGTGCTCTCGACGGGCGTCGCCGGCAACCACAACGGCGCGCTGCAGCTCATGTCCGCCGAGTTCCAGATGCCGTCGCCGCTGGTGCCGACGAGGGAGACCCAGTTCCTGCGCTACTGCAAGCAGCACCCCGACGGCACGTGGGCCGTCGTCGACGTCTCCCTCGACGGGCTCCGCGCCGGCGCCGGGGGCGGATGCCAGCCGGCGGCGGCGCGCGGCCACCGGCGCCGCCCCTCCGGCTGCCTCATCCAGGAGATGCCGAACGGCTACTCCAAGGTGACGTGGGTGGAGCACGTGGAGGCCGACGACCAGATGGTGCACAACCTGTACAAGCCGGTGGTGAACTCCGGCATGGCGTTCGGCGCTCGCCGGTGGGTGGCGACGCTGGAGCGGCAGTGCGAGCGCCTGGCTAGCGCCATGGCGAGCAACGTGGCGTCCTCGGGCGACGCCGGCGTGATCACGACGTCGGAGGGGAGGCGGAGCATGCTGAAGCTGGCGGAGCGGATGGTGGCGAGCTTCTGCGGCGGCGTGACGGCGTCGACGACGCACCAGTGGACGACGCTCTCCGGCAGCGGCGCCGAGGACGTCCGCGTCATGACGCGCAAGAGCGTCGACGACCCCGGCCGCCCTCCCGGCATCATCCTCAACGCCGCCACCTCCTTCTGGCTCCCCGTCCCGCCTTCCCGCGTCTTCGACTTCCTCCGCGACGACTCCACCCGCAGCGAGTGGGACATCCTCTCCAATGGCGGCGTCGTCCAAGAAATGGCTCACATCGCCAATGGCCGCGACCACGGCAACGCCGTCTCCCTCCTCCGCGTCAACGTAAGATAGCTCTTCTTCCTATAAAATGGATGATGAATCGATCCATCGCCATTGCTGATGAAGAGAAGAATAAAATAATTTGGTGCAGAACGCGAACTCGAACCAGAGCAACATGCTGATACTGCAGGAGTGCTGCACGGACGCGACGGGGTCGTACGTGATATACGCGCCGGTGGACGTGGTGGCGATGAACGTGGTGCTCAACGGCGGCGACCCGGACTACGTGGCGCTGCTGCCGTCGGGGTTCGCCATCCTCCCCGACGGGCCGGACGGCGGCGGCGGGTCGCTGCTGACGGTGGCGTTCCAGATACTGGTCGACTCCGTGCCCACCGCCAAGCTGTCGCTCGGCTCCGTCGCCACCGTCAACAGCCTCATCGCCTGCACCGTCGAGCGCATCAAGGCCGCCATCACCGGCGACAACGGCGTCGCGCCGCCATGCCCACGGTGACCTCGCCGGCGTGCCCATCTATCTGTCCATCATGTGCAATGGTAAGTGAGATCCCCTGATCATTACAGAACGAAATTTCTAAAATTCTCTCAATTTAGTAAAATTGTTCAAATTCAGTCAAATTTTGAGCCCTATTCAGTGTTTTTTCATCTGCAAATACCCCTTTTCTTATTTCAGCAAGATTGAACTCTGCTTTAACTATTCCTACAAAATTCCAGCAAAATTACTAAGTGATCAATTTCTTGAAATGGTTTTCTCTGACTTAATTTCATAATTCGCATTTATGATGGTTTAAATTTGATCGAATTTTGTGCAGGGGATCAAGGGAGGGATCAAGAGCGAATTCGGAGGTTTAGCAATGTGGGGAGTCAAGAACGCACCGCAGACTACTGTCCTTGCAAAAGTGTAGTTGCTGCTTCAGTTAGCTAGTTCATTTATCATTTTTTTTAATCACTATCACCACCACCAAAAAACCCCCAGAAAAATTAATCATGAGTAAAAACCTTAATTATCCAACACAGCAGCAACACAACTTAGGTCCTGTGATCATGGCTGATATATATACACTACATATATTTATACAGTGATATGTCATAGGCTCTGAGTTGTGTTGCTCTCAACAAATTCCTACTCATCATCCAAAATTAAATTTGCTTCAGAGTTCAGACAAACACATTGCATCCAATCCATGCATATGCCCCCTCTTATTTGATTTCAGTTAGGTTAGTTTCAGTTAAGTTATTAATGATCTGTCACCTGCATTACATGGCTCATCAACAGTTCATCAGAGTTAATTAGTTCGGAAGCAAGCAACACTTTGCAAGGTTGGTTGGTTGGTTCGGGTATTGACTCCTCTTTCTCTCTCCGGGTTGCCACTCTCTCTCTAGAACTCCTCTTCTGATGCAAGATTTGTTAATTTCATCATCAGCTGGACTAATGCATGCATATGTGTACTGCATAGTAGTACCTTTAAATTCAGTTTGCAAAAAGAGTGTGTATCATGTTTGTGCTTAATTTGCTCTCCTTGTCTATTAGATTGGGCTTAAACTTTGCATGCATTTGGAGATTTGCAGAAGTCTGTCTTGTATCCTCTCTGTGATTCTCATGGACAGTTCGATTAATTGGACTACCTTTTTGCATCCATATCTAAAGTCTGGCTGAGTTGATGCATTTTGTTTTGGTGTATATCTGCAGGTGTTCAATGATGTTTTTGTGTGTGATATGAATGATGCGATATTTTGATGTTGCTTCTTGCACAAAGTCAGATATGAAATGATGTTTTCCTAGTATATATTTTCCAAAGCTACATCTCAAAAACCTACACATGACACATCACCCATGGTTAGTCTTGCAAGAAAAGGACATTTTCTCTTTTTTGGTTCAGATGATGCTGTCAAAGCATAGGAAACCATGTGTATCTCAAAAACCCATACATTACCTATTGGTTAGTCTTGCAAGAAAAGGATACGTCTCTTTTATTTTATTCAGATCATCGGATACTGTCAAAACCTAGGAAATCATGTGTTCCAAACAAAACAGATCAGGAGAATCAACAACCATGGCGGCGGCAGCTTAGCTTTAAAGACAGTTAAGCCATCTCAACTTAAATGAAGGCCCTAACACCCAACAAATTTGTTGGTTTAGTCAGAGCAGGCTGCTGTCACAGTGTCACCTGTCGACATCTCTCACTCCTGTACAAGGAAAGATGTTGTTCAAGCAATGCAGCAGCTGCAGACAGACAGTAGCAGCGGTAGTAGTAGGTTGTACATTTTTTTTAAGATGATGTTAGTACATTTTTTACTACTAGCAAAAGATAAAACTTTTAACTAATTACTAGCAAAGGTAGCGTAGTGACTCAACCACTAAACAAATGTCACAATTCACCTCCTCTTTGTTCCTTTCATCATGTTCTTCACAAAGTAACAAGACAACTGAAGATTCAGAGAGAACACAGCATACTACGGAGCAAAGCTGAAAAGATATGCTGATAGAATGGAGAAAGATTGGTGTTTATTTAGTTATATTTACCAACTCCGCCAATAACATCATTCAGATACAAAGACAAACAAACAAAGATACTCTTGTAGCTAATATGAACTTCCAAGCATTATTGGTACTTTTTTATCCAAATAACAAAGCTCTAATCAATTGCTGCTGTTGTATTGCACCCTTTCAAAACTGCTCATGGAAAAGCTATCATTTTTTAGCCCCTCTAGAGTTTTTTCAGACATCAAGGTACTTGCTGGCTGTGTGGACATCCTTGTCTCCTCTTCCACTGCAGTTCACCACCACCCTCACGCCGTCGGGCAGCGTTGGGCAGAGCTTCTCCAGGTAGGCGAGCGCATGGGACGTCTCCAGAGCAGGGATGATGCCCTCCAGCCGAGAGACGCGCTTGAAAGCTGCATGTGAAGATAGCATTCGAAAAGGGAATAGTTAGATTTTGAGCATAGCACTTAAAGAGTTAGATATTGCAGCATTAATCAACGATTGGGACATCAACTAGTAAATGTTTATCGTTATGTCAGTGAAGATGTGAAAGACTTCCAACATAACTTTACGCAACTCGGTAATATTTTAGTACTCAGGATTATGTTAAAACAAGTAAACAACAATCAAGATCAAAACATCAACTAAATGTTTAACATAACATGCATATGTGACAGACTGACGGCTAGCAAACTACTGAGTCAGCAACTCAGCATGTTAAGAATTTGCCTGGTCTTACTTATCTGTAATTCAGGGTCACTTTCGGATACCCTACTAACTCAACAGCAAAGCTTAATTTCCAGTGTAAATCTAAAGTTTTTGTCTAACATGTGAATCAGATAGAGTTGCAGACAACCAAAGCGTAGTTGCTCTGATATCATTAAGATGGTAGAGGGGCCAAACAACAAAATTGGTGCCTTAGCCCTGCTTAAACTCGTATCAAGAAAGTTCAGAACATTCACAATATATGCTACTAAGAATAACAGTTTTTAACAGTTGTTGGTTCTATTAGCCTACTCTTACTCATTAGCAGTCCCCACCATCAAAGAGATATACTATTGGCATTTATAGTAGATATTCCACCAATCAAGTGGAAGGAAAATATCAGAGAAGAGAACCGTAGATAGTGACACTGAAACACATACCATCCAGTGCCTCCTGATCTGTCACGCTGTCATATTCAGCACGTCCAATATCCTTCAAAAAGCTATGCTCAGGCCCAACACCAGGGTAGTCCAGCCTACCATTCAAAACAGCATAGATGATTAGCCCAACTGCTGTAAAAATGAATTACTGTCAATGCCAACAACAGAATACTCACCCAGCACTAATGGAGTGGGGTTCAATAACTTGTCCATCATCATCCTGCAACACATAGCTCAATGATCCATGGAGAACTCCCACTTCTCCCTTTGTCAAAGTGGCAGCATGTTTGTCAGTGTCTACACCATAGCCAGCAGCCTCCACTCCAATCATTCTTATATCTTGATCATCAACGAACTCATGGAAGAGACCCATGGCGTTTGATCCACCACCAACACAAGCAACCAAGACATCAGGCTTGCCACCCCACTTCTCCATGGCCTGTCTACGGGTCTCCTTGCCAATCACCTTATGGAACTCTCTCACCATCATCGGGTATGGATGCGGACCAGCAACTGATCCCAAAATGTAGTGAGTGTTCTCAACATTGGTGACCCAGTCACGGATGGCCTCCGAGGTGGCATCCTTCAAAGTTGCTGTCCCAGAATGTACTGCCCTCACCTGTTTCAGCAAAAGAGATCAGCAAACCATGTTGAGGAACAATTGTACATTCATATCGAAACGAGTGTACACGATTGCAAGCACAAAGATGCACAAGTTTCCGTCATACCTCTGCTCCAAGAAGCTTCATCCTGAAAACATTAAGTGCCTGCCTCTCCATATCCTGAGCACCCATGTAGATGATGCACTGCAGCCCAAACCTCGCGCACACCGTGGCAGTGGCAACACCGTGCTGGCCGGCGCCAGTCTCGGCGATGATACGTTCCTTCCCAAGCCGCTTGGCAAGCAAGACTTGAGCGACAGCATTGTTGATCTTGTGGGCGCCAGTGTGGTTAAGATCCTCCCTCTTGAGGTAAATCATGGGGCCTGTGCCATCAGCGCGCTTGTAGTGCTCAGTCAATCGCTCCGCAAAGTACAGCGGGGTCTCCCGGCCGACGTAATCCTTGAGAATACCATCAAGTTCTTTCTGCAAAGAGCAAGGTGTTGTCAAGCACACAACTCTCTTGTTATTTCATAATCTCCCTAGCAATCAAAATGACTACTACTACTTCTAAACATTTCGCATGATTCAGGAATCATATGAAGTTGCAGGCATTGCAGTGATAAATGAAACAAACTATTCACACTATTGAAATGCATTTGGTCTCTGAAAGGCGATGTAGCTACAGCTCAAATACAGTGATACCGGTGCTTGAAGAATAGGGGCTCCAAAGTACTATATGTGGCTGCAGTTCTCGGAAAGGGACACAGACGAAAACTGAATCTTCGTCGAAAAATCAATCGGTCTCAAAGGAAGATTGATTGGTTCTGCAAATTGATGTGACTTCTCCCCTCTACCACAAACCAGAGATCTCAAACACACACAAGTATCACGTATTACTAGCGTTAATCCACACAAAATAAAAGAAGCAAACTATAAGAATATAATCGAAGCAATCATCATTAATCCACAAAAGAAACAAAATCGACGGACTAAACCTTGCAAATCAACATCTCCGACCATCAACCAATTCGGCGACGAAATGAAATGGTGGCGTTTTCCAAGGGGGTTGAAGAAAATAAAACCCAAACGAAATATACTTCGCGAATCAAATCGAAACAAGCGAGCACCAAATCCAATAAATCGGAGTGGGGGGAGGGGGGATCCAGCACCGCGGCGGTTACCTGGAAATCTTCGTCGCCGGCGAGGGCATGGAACGCGGCCTCGAGCTCGGTGAGCGCATGCATCAGCGTCTCGGGCACGTACTTGCCCCCGAACTTCCCGAACCTCCCGAACGCGTCGGGCCTCGCGAACCCCCCCGACGCCGCCCCGTTCACCTCCCCGGCCGCCTCCTTCGCCGGCGACGCCACCGCCTTCGCCGGCCGCATTGCCGCCGCCACCACAGCCCCCGCTCCCCTCCTCCCCGCCGCCACCCTCAAGCCCCCCGCGCGCAACGCCCCCGCACCGACCCTCGACGCCGAGATCGACGCAGCGGCGGCCGCGTTAGGGTTCCCGACGGCGGCGGCCATGGATTCCGACCACGAAGCGAGTAATTAATGGATAGGGAGGAGAAGAGGTTGAGTGGGGGAGAAGCGGGTACACGAGGCGGGTATATAAACCGGTCGCGGTAGGAATTCTCCCACGCGGGGGTAGGTGGTCCATGGACCCGGTGCATGGGCCGGCCCACTCACAGCGAGGCGCCGGGTCCGCGAGGGCGTTTCGTGGACCGGGTGCAGGGGGGGTCGCACCGGGCCCACCGGATCGGGGTAGGGGTGGGGGCGGGTCATTCGGCACGTGTGGCGGGGGCGTTCTCGTCAGAGCAAGTTTTAACAGTATAGCTAACTGCTGGCTCTAAATCATCTATAGCTAATCTAATAGTCTATTCATACAATAGTTAAGTACAAAAATATACTACACCATTAATACCGGTCCTATCTCTCATATACACATAACGTCTTAGAGTCCGTGTTGCAACTAGCTATAAATCTGTAGCCCGTTTTCTTCTCTCTTCTCTTTTCTTCTCGATACGTGGTTATAGAAAAAAATTGAAAATATACTTCTTTTTTTATTATTTTGCATTTATATACCTATGTGACGAAAATTTGCACAAATATACCTATCCCGCAGTGTGGTTACGCGGGACCGAGGCGGTCCCGCACTACCATTCCGCGGGACCGGTGGTCCTGCAGCACGGACGCACGGTACCGCGTCGGTCCCGCGGACCGGCCGTGCGGTCACGCAGGCCGGCCGCGCGTGACCGAGCAGCCAAGCTGCACATGCATGCATATAGCACTGTTTGACACTGTTCTGCACTGTTTCGCACTGTTTTCACACTGTTCATGAGCCGGTTCCGCACATTGGATCCGCGGTACCGCTGTTTGAACAGTGCCAAATAGTGTCAAAACAGTACTGATACAGTAAAAATTGTGGAACCGAGCCGCTCCAGCACGCCCGTTCCGCGGGACCGTGCCGCTCCCAAGGTGCTCCCGCATCCCTGCCGCTCCCGCATACCCGTTCCACGGGCTGCATCGCTTCCGCGCAACCGCCGTGCGGGACCGGCTCGATCCCGCATCCCCACTACGCGCGACCGTGCCTACCGTACCGCTCCCGCTAACCCAATATACGGACGAGGTATATTTTCGCAAATATATGTCGTGCAAGTATATTTTTGTAAATTGAAAGAAAAAAAAGTATATTTTCAAATTTTTTTCTGTGGTTATAGCGGTCTTATAGTGAGATTTGGATGTGAGACGTGGAGGGTTCTCGGCCGTTCATCCGTGGGGACGGTGGGTGCATCGAGGCCGTTGATTGGGGGATGGATGGGTCGGATTGGGGTCAGGGTGGGTTGATCCACGTAGGCAGGATATTGGTCACGTTGTGTTGTTTTTTTTAGTATTTGAAAGTTGAAACTAGTGGATGGAAAGAGATGGAAAATGGTTTGCTGTGATACGGCTAGTTGTAAAGCTTGATCGTGACAAAAAAAAAATGAACTAGAAAAGATATTTATGGCTGTGTTTAGATTCTAACTTTTCTCATTAAACTTCCAACTTTTCTGTCACGTCAAATGTTTGGACACATATATGGAGCATCAAATGTAGACAAAAAGAAAAACTAATTGCACAATCTGACTGTAAATCACGAGACAAATCTTTTTAGCCTAATTACGTCATGATTAGCTATAAGTGCTACAGTATTCCAAATGTACTAATGATGGATTAATTATGCTTAAAAGATTCGTCTCGCAGTTTACAGGCGTAATTTGTAATTAGTTTTGTTATTAGTCTACGTTTAATACTTTAAATGTGAGTCCGTATACGTAAAAAAGAATTTGACGATGAACTAAACACGGCCATTATCTAAAACAAAGATATTTATACCATCCACATCCTTATCTCTCTCCAAAATTAAATATTAGGTAGGCAAATAATGTTTTTTGTTTTTAATAACATCGACACGAGGTTTTTTTTTTCCATAGGATAATAAATTGTTCTTGGTACCTTTTTTTCCCAGCGTGGTTGTAATTGGACTTTTGCATAATTTCTGGTATCGTGCGGTAATTGGGATTATTATTTTCCTTTGGCTTTTCCCAAAAATTTTGGTACGACAAAGGCTGTGTTGTTTGGCTTATTAAGATTGAGTAGAAAAACTTTTATACATATATTTTTAGCGGTCCAAAGACATAGTTGAGTGAAAAAAATGAAAAGAAGAAAATTTAATTTTACAATATGTTTGTAATAGCTCATAAGCCAAAGTCCAAACAAATAAGCTTTGGTTGATTTAGTTTGAGTTTAAATTGGACTAGGGTACCTGTCTGGAATCTAGACAGTGGTCAAAGCACAGTTACACAAAGACAAGCATTCCAAATTGAATTCTCTAATAAGGGACCAAAAGGAGATCAATATAGTACTAATACAGTATACTAGTAGATCCAAATTGCCTCTAAAATAAACCTATTAAATATTCACCAAGAATTGAATTGTACTCACAGTCCAGCCATTTATCTAGGCAGGTTCGCATTTCCAAGCAGCAGCTTCACAAACCACATCAAAACAGCAGAAAGCTCCACATTGACACTGATGTGTCCCATATTCTGACCATTCATTACTACTGTAGTAGCCAAGTCATCAATTGAAGAACAAGCGAGATGTTCTTCAGAGTCACAGGCGAGAGACGACGTAGCAAAGCGGCAGCCTTCTTGTTTTTACTAATGTTCTTTGGCCTCTTTGACTAATCACATCTTCAGAGATCTCTCCTCACCAACCACAACACAAAACACCCTTCTTGCTACGCCGCTGTTAAAACTGGTCAAGGTGTTCAAAGCAAAATTTCTTTTTGTTTGTACTAAGCTGTCCTCCTTTCTGTGGTGATTAAATAAATTATTCAGACATGAGATTTGGTCAGGACCAGAGACCAACAACCGAATCAGTGAAAATTTCCTGGCATCTTGCATTGGATGGACGATGAATCACGGTGGCTAGCTAGCTAGATTTTTCCAGTTTAATTGGAAGAAATATGGTACACTGCTACTACTACAACAACTTCAGAAGTTCAGAAGCATCAGTGCATCAGAAGGCAGGCACCAGGAAGCTCAAGGAAGTCATACATGCAGCTCATGTTGTCTTGCCGACTTTGTCAAGCAGACATACGTGCAGCCATCGTAGCCTCGCATATGGATCCAGCGAATAAAATTCAGGTTAAAAATATGTTCCTAACCCTGAGTCCCTGACATGTGACAAAATAGACTGGTAGTAGCAGCTAGCTTACACTTCTTGTTTGTGCTGCACACTGAAAGGGACAGCACAGATTAGCACAAACACAACCATCGGGTGTATCTCAGCTTATGCTCATACAGATGATCCAAAGATTGTACAATCTCATACAGAAAGCTTCATGACTCGGATGAATATTCTACAAAAGTTACATTGAGGTAACATTTGGTTCAGTTGCCCTACCAGCAAAATACTCTACCTGTCAAACCACCATAGTGAACATTGAAATTGGGAGGGGAAAAATATGTTTGTGATTTTAATCAAATCCCTAAATTACAGGATCCTAAACTAGCTTTGAAGACAAAAGAAGAATCCTAAACTTGGGGACAGCTAAGGCTGCTTCAATCTTTCTAATACAATGCAGGAAGAACAGGCACCATGTCTTCAATCTTTCTTGGCATACTTGCCAACATATGCCTACACACAAACACAGCCCAATTAGCCTATATGTGTGAGTTTAGTTTCTCAAATGACAAGAGATGCCAGGTGGACAGCGCTGAGAGTGGAAGCTCATTGTTACCTGGACGAGTTTGTTTAGCTTTTCTCTGGAGTAGGACATGTAAATATCAATCTTCTCTTTTGTTTGAGGAGTATTTTCAACTGTGGTCGTAACTTTGTCGACAACCTTCTTCACAATTGTTTTATGAACCTCTCTGCTCATTTGACCCTCTTTCCAGGTGGGCTTAAGTGCATCCTTCACAAAGTCAGCCAGTGCAAGCTTAAACATCTTCAACGCCTTGGAATCCTTGCTCTTCTTGTTCTCACCATCTTCATTAGCCTCAGCATCAGTGTCCTTTGGTTCTTCTTTCTTATTTTCTGCAGGTGTAGTTTCATTGGTCGCCAAGGCAGCAGCAGGAACAGTCGGTGCAACCGAATGGGGTAAAAGCAGAGGGTTGCCATTACTACTACCAGCAGCCATTGGTGCCTGAAATGTCTGGGGAGCTGGTTGTTCAGGTGGAACAATATGTGAAGGTTGGACCATTCCTGCTTGTTGTAACCAAGGCCAGTGATTAGGTTGAACTGCTTGAGGTGCAGCAGACGAATTGTTCATCAAACTCGAATTTGGATCAGGCTGAGACGACTGCAGCCCAGAGGTATCAGCAGTCAGAGAAGGAACAAAGTACTGGGCCAAAGATGCAGTAACACGACGGACTTCTTCCTGACTTGACACTGCATTGTGAGAAAGAGGAGCTCCAGCCATATCAACTGAGCTGGAACTGGCCACCACTGATAACCCTTGCAAGGTTTGACTCTGAGTTTGCTCATTTGGAGCAACAGGCTGGAAATTATGTGTGTTTTGCAAGCCTTGATCACCACTATCTCGGCCCAGGTTGGGTGTGTCACTTGTTGCCTGATTCTGCCCAGCATGCACGATTGTTGGAAGATTCTGTGGAACTTGACCAACATTGAAAATTTGTCCATTATGCACAGAGAGATCTGGTAATGATTGTGCCCCCATAATGTAGCCGTGTTGGCTGTGCCCCATATAAGGAGCAACTGGCTGGCTCTGCATGCTAGGAGCAGAGTTATTTGTAGTTGCATGAGGAACTGCAAACTGGTCCTGCCTATTTGGATGTAATGAAAAGTCACTTTGCTGAACTTGGCTATTCAAAGGCACTGAGGATGTAGTATTCTGCAATTGGGTGGCGCCCGGAAGAGATGGTGCAGCAGAAATTTGAGAAATTGCATCTTGGCTCTCTGCTTTTTGGCCCAAGTTATGCCCTCCTAAAAGATTAGCAGAATGCATCCCGATTTGCATACTCAAATTGCCAACGGTTCCAGGTCCACTCTGACCACCCATGTCAGATACCTTGTCAATGTTTATGCTCTCTGTGCCTGTTTGGACAGAAGGTATGAACTGTGGCAGTTGTGAAGCAGCTATTTCAGGTTTGTTTTGCCCTACTGAACCAAAATCATCCTGAGGGAATATCTGGTACTGACTACTTCCAGCATCTTTGGAATGCCGGTTTTTGTTCTCATATCGAGAATCATTTCTGCCAGTACCCTGAGGAACAGGGTTTTCTCTGTCATCTCTTGACAAAACATGAGAACTTGCCTGCACAGAATTATTTTGTTCACTCCAGCTCAAGTAATCTCCTCTTGTTGTAGGCCCACCAGTGTAACCAGGCTCATCAGGTGCACCCAGTCCCATTTGGCTCTGGGAAGCTTCCTCGTGGAGATATGGGCAATTTTGGCCACGACGGCATCCACCGTTAGCAAAAAATTTGCAGGGGTTTTTATTTGTTCTACGGTGCTCAGTCCTGTTCCCATATGATGAATCAGGGCCACTTCTACCAATAGCATTATCTCTAACCTCATCTCTCCATCCACCATGAGGGGTGGAATCATCATGAACATATCGGCAATTCGCACCCCTACTGCATCTTCCTTTGACAAAATCATGGCATGGCATCGTAGACCGATACTCCCTTCGAGGTTCAGATCTTTCCCAAGTTCCTTCATCATAATGGCCACCTCGAGGTGGCCTATTCCTTAAATAGTCATCTTGTTCTCGTGGATCCATGAAGTCCCTATTCTGATGCCCATACTTTTCCCTTGAATCTACAGGATAATGCTCATCAAACTGCCTGCGCACACCATCTTCATGAGGGAACCTGCAATTTGAGCCTCTTCTGCATCTACCAGCTACAAAATCCCTACAGGGAAGAGCAGGTCCTCCAGATGATCTGCTTCTCTCAACCCTCCATTCAGATCCACGGTCACTGAAATAAGGACTTCTGCTTCTGCTTCTGCTTCTACCTCTACCTCGCCCTATGCTCCTGCTTCTACTTCTAGAACGGCTTCTGTTCCTGTAAAGTGTAAAAGAAAACAAATATATTAAAGAGGCAGGGAAAAGAAACTAGTAAATTGAATTTTTCATTAGAATTTCAAATAAATGTATTCCATAGAAATTGTAAAAACTTCTTATGTGAGCATCATCTTTGACATTTATAGAACAAACAAACCATACAATCTATCTTGGATATTTCATTCTTGATAAATTTCATTTTAAAATCATCTCCAACAGCTGCTACACAATATACAAGAAAAAAGTTACCAGTTGCACAGTTAATTAAACTAATTACTTGTTCAAACACACCTGCGTGACCTGTTCCAACCACCTCTTGGAGATAGTGGACTGCGACTTCTCTTCCACGCATCTGGACCAGATGATGATATCCTAGAAGAATAACCACGGCTAAGAGTTGTACCCCACCCATCACCACGCCTTCTGTCATCTGCATATCTGCTCATACCTTGGTTACCAGCTGCCTTTTCAAAGCCTCTGTTGTGCCAGTCATTTTTATTATGATCCTCATCACCCATTCTAAGAGGCAACCTTTCAGAGGATGCCTTGGATGACCTTTCCTTGATATCTTTGTTGAGTCCATCAGCTCGATCCTGCTCATGTCCAGCGCTACCATGGTGCATAGAGACAGTAGATTTGAGGTTCAGAGATTCACCAATTTGCTTGTCATTACCATGACCAAAATCCTGAGAAGGGAGCAAATCACTGCCCTTTCTATGATCATCATTGCCCTTTTTATGATCATCCATATTCATAGGAAGAGACTCATCTTCACTGATCTCCACTATATCAGGAGGTCCTTTTGTATCCCACTTGGACCGTTCTTTCCTTGTTTCACCAGTCATTTTAACCCTTCTTTATTAGTCCAACAAAGAAGTAGTTCCTGGTGCACAACCTCCTTTCCCTTATCCGAAAGTACTCTTGTCGGTCTATCTGAAATAATCAAAGATCGTTTGCATATATTATAATCAATGGAAGAATAGAATACTTCAACAACAAAAGTGACTGCTGCAGTATGCGCAAAAGATATAGCTTTCTCAAAGGACATGATTCAGAAACATCAACAAAGTTGAGACACTTAACAACTGACTGACAGCTGTATAATAAGTAGGATCCAGGATCAAGTAAGACATATCTAGTAAAAGAACGCTAAAGCCAGGAGGGGTATACTGAAACAGACCTTCCACTATCAAGGATTCAAGGTAACCGCCTAAGTGGCTAACCACTCTCATTATATAGATACAACATAAGATATGTCCCAAAAAACTAAGAAAAATTTCTTATTGTACAAGTTATATGCCACCTACACTTTCCAAATTTTAGTCATACGGTACATTGCTTGGACATTTGAGTGGCAAATCCTCATAAGAATCAATTTTAGGGGTGGCAAATAATTGATACCCTCACCAAAAAGCTCAGGACATACTTTTCTCTGGTATTTTTGTTTAATTGATACCCTCACCAAAAAGCTCAGGACATACTTTTCTCTGTATTTTTGTTTCATTTGTTCTTTGTAGGCAACTACGTATACCAACACTTGTTGAAGGGAATTCACAAGCACTCAAACCCTAGTGTGCACTATTTCCATGAATTATTTTTGAGGATTTTCAGGAACTCCCTCGTGTCCCAACAGGAATGTGAGTAGTTATCCTCTAGAGCGCTTTGATTACCTTCCCCACATCAGACTACAGTCAGCACATCTATCTTGCTTATTTCTAAGATCAAACAACAGGACACTCAACAATTTAGCAACTTATCAACATGTACCAAACTGAACACGTATTTTTGCCAGCAATTGCTGAAACTTCAGCATCACCCATCTGCTTCCTTGTACATGTGCGTAAGCGGGTTGGGATATTAACACCATACTGCAACAGTATAAAGTATAGTACTATAGCCTGCAATTTCCATCAGTACGTATTTCACTGTCCATTTGAATGCCCAAGAAAGGCAATAAGTATAAAGTATAGCCTACAGTTTTGTCCTGTGGAATATTAGAATAGATGTTTTTTTAGTCAGTAAAGTCGATTGCCCATCTTCCAAGGATAGTCGTGACTGTCATTTAGTTGACTTCAGACTGTTATTACTATATATACCAGTTACTTCTACTGCTAGTCTGCTACTACTTGCTGTGCCCAATGGACCCGACAATCCTCTCATCCCCCTTTTCACTCAATGGGCTCGATAAACCAGGCCTGCCAAGCGGCACCCTGTAGCTGCCCTTGCTCCAATGCGTCCTCTGGTGCCAAGTCAAAGTCGTATCCCTCAAGTCGTGCTCCCTATCCGATTTATCAACTAGCTGACGATTAGTCACACGGCTTCATAAAAGTAGAATGGAATAATTATTATAGCAGATTTAGCACAACTAAGCATGCGATTTGAATAATTGGCCAGAACTGTGGAGATTGGATTTGGCACAGTCAAAAGGTGGAGAAAATGCCCAACATCAAGATTGCACACAATCACACAATGGAAAATGAACCTTATGCAGAGATAAGAAGCAATAACTTTTTTACAGCAGGACTGTAAGAGTCATCAGACTTGTGAAGAACTTATAAATTCCACACCCAGGTACAAACCAGTGTTTTTTATTCATCTGGCATAGTTCACAATCAAAAACCATGGAATACTTCATTCAACATATACATTATAACCACTCAAATAAACCTATACAACTTACAGGTAAATATATGACAAGAATGTTTGCTTTCTACACTTACAGGACGGCTAAATCTACAAACACAACCTACCAAGAAAACAATGTCAAGCAGTAATTGCTGTTATCTGGGGCATCAACAGATTGCACCAAAATTCTCCTTCATTTACTGTGTTCCAGTGTTTTGCCAGACTTGGTCGATACTTAAGGTTCAGTTGTTACTGTCTCTGATTGCAGAGACCTTGGGGCACTGATACTACTCGTATTCCACTGAAGTTTCTCCCTCGAATGTTGTGTTCCAGCGATTTTGCCGACTTGGTGGCAATTAACAGTTCAATTTTTTTTCTTTATATAATTGCTAGCTATAGTCTTGAGGAATGGAGACTAAACCAAAAGGGCAGACACTCCAAAAAGTGGCATTTACATAATCCTGCATGTGAGAAAGATAATTCTATCAGCTCGCATGAATTCCTATGTCCCCTCACCTACCACAATCATCTCCCAATTCTAGCGCTAAGCACATCAAAACGCTAACCCTACATTGTCTAAAGAATCCAAGAAGCCAACCATATAGAGTCGTTTTACATGGACCATATAGCTAGCATGTCATATTCCATCTGATGGTTATCTAAGCAAAAAAGAACACAACAGTTCTTGGTTTCAACTTTCAAGATTAAACAATAGGCACAACATTGGTCAGTAAATTTGGGTGCATTAACAGTGTATTTGCATGCAATTCTAAGAATGGAAAAGCACATACAAGCAAGGGAAACAGCCAACAATCACCACAAATGAAGGAAACAGAAAGATGACACAAAAGAGAACCACAAGTCCACAACAGCAAGTTAATTAGGGGTTCTTCACTTGGGATCTACATGGTTTGCTAGGAGCCCTTCTTTCAGAAGGATGGTCTACAGACTGTATTACGTCAATGCATGGAACATCGAGAACTTAAGGAAACATGACAAGCAAGCAAGGTTGACATACTCTACACATCAAGAAACAACAGGAACAGGATGGCACTGTAGTATAGAAACCAACCTGAGAGACTCAGAATGTGAAAGGTGTCCAAGCCTCACAACACAGCATCGGATCTTCCAGCTTAAATCACAGGACCATACCGCATTTGCTTTTCATCTGAAAAAAAGAACGAAGTTTGTCATCATTCGCCAGTACGCCACATAATAAATCGTGTTTGATTAGTATTAATAATAGGCACAACCCAGGTATTTATCCATTAATCTCATGAAGAAAAAAAAATGTGAAAAGAACCCTAAACCCAACGCGGCTCCCGTATAGAGAACATACACATCAAGACAGAAATTTCCAATCCAGACACGAGAAACTGTCCTAGCAACATGAAGATCTAACTCGTACGCAGCTATACCTAATCTAACCAGAAAGCAACTCCACATAGTCAACTCGAAGAATGGAGAATACAGACCCAACAGATTGCAATCCATCCTTAGACCCAGCCATAAAAGATCTCAGCTTTGGGGATGCAATCCCAAACCCCTCCAAATCCCCTAATCTAACAAAATCAACCGGTGCTAATCTGTCGCAGACCCACACCCGAGAGTCCCAACGCACCCAAATCCCGGCCAAAGCAGCCACCAACCAAGCTCGCGAGCGAGCAAGCAGCCGCCCAAATCACGCCCAATCGCAAGGGTTCACCTACGGGAGGGAGGAAACCCTAGGCGCGGGATCCGTACGGGAGGGGAAAGGGGAAGAGGGTGGGAGGGGCTCACCTCGACGGAGCGGATGCCGGAGAGGCCGCCTGACTTCGCCGCCGTCCGCCGCCGCCGCCGCCGCCGCAGCCAGCGAAAACCCTAATTGGGAGAGGTGGAGGAGCAGCAGCGAGCAGAGCACGCTTCGAATAACGGAATAGCGCAGCGAAAGCACTGGAAAAAGGGGGAAAATATTTTATTATTATTATTAATTAATTAATAAAGCGAAGCGAGTTTGGGTTTGTAATTGGGTTGGAGTTGGATCCGATTGTTTGATGGGCTGGGCCTCCAGTACTGGATGGTATGGCCCTCCATTTCGCAGAATTTTAACAGAATGAAATTGGAATTCATGAAATTCACAAGATCTTGCCGTAATACGGAGAACTAATTGGGCGCTCCTTTTTTTAATCTTGCGATTATAATTGTGGGTTCAGAGAAAATTCAGGATGAAGTAATTACAAATTTGACGAATTGATCACAATGAATTGAATGAATTGAATCGGGGTAATTACAAAGTTGGCGAATAGACTGCACAAAAATCATCCATGATGCCAATTGAAGTTATTAGTAACTAATTACATTGTTATGTCCGCCGCCACTAATGAATCACTCTATCTTCCTAATCTTGTTGCTGCGGCCGGCGTCGTCGTCGTCGCCGGCGGCGACGTTCGCCACCGCCGCGGCGGCCTTCTCCTGCAGCTTGCGGACCACGGCGGCCTTGAGCGCCAGCAGCTTCCGGCGGTGCGCCTCCACCTCCTCCGCCGCCATCCCCGACACGTCCATCGCGACCACCCCCCGCAGCGCCGCCGCCGCCGCCTCCGCCTCGCGCCTCCGCCTCGCCACCGCCCGCGCCCGCGCCGCCGCGATGGGCGCGCCGCGGAACGTGTGGTACTCGGCGCGCGACCCGCCGGGGAAGAACACGATGGCGTGGACGTCGCCGCCGCACGCCGCCGCCATCTCGCCCGCCTCCTTCAGCAACTCCATGTGCAGCGTCCGGTGCAACAAGATGATCTGCTGCGCCGCCCCGCCGCCGGCGACGACGACGGCGCCGGCGCCGGACGACGAGCTCGGCTGCGGCTGAGCCTGACGCTTCTTCTCACCGGAGGCGGAGGCGGCCATGGCTGCGTCCATCGAGCGATCTGTCCATCTGCTCCCCGCGGCGAGCCCTTATATAGGCTGGCGCGCCCACCCGTGCGCTGCCAGATTAGACTCCGAATCCGATTACAATTAGCGCTAATTAATCGGGTGAATTAATAATTGTTAATAATTTGGTTAAATCTCGGACCGTCCGATCCGCTCTGTGTGTATCTGATCTGGACGCGTGGTCGTTCCGCGTGGGTCCCACCCGTTCCTTATATTAACTAGTGAATATGCACGTGCAAGGCACGTTGTGCTCAACATAAATTGAATTGAGCATATTATAAGTATAAGAATCTATTTATCTACGTGTATTGTGTAAATATGACCTAGGTCTAGAATATACATACATATATATATATATATATATATATATATATATATATATATATATATATATATATATATATATGTAAGTCCTAGTAATTCATAATCTATAATGATTAAGAAAATATCTACAACACAAAATACTTTTGATATATTGTTTTCCATTGCCAAGTCGATAAGGCAGTGACAACACAGACAGTGATTGAGGAACAATGTTGAGCTGGTAGCGCGGTTTGTTAATCTTGCTATCACTAATACTTGATACTAACATTCACTCATCAACAACGAAAAATGATAAATACTCAAAATTCAAAGAAAAAACTCCATACACAAAATTCTAATTGATTTTCATCCTCGGACCACCAACCAACCAAACTGGGAAGACCAATTGTTTTGTGGCCTTAGGAGGAATTATTCAAATCATGCTGCCAGCCCACACCCCTTGCCATTCAAACTTAAAGTTTAATGCCATAAGTGGCAGTAATTCTGATCAACCTTATAACTTGCTGAACTCACCCTAAATTCATGAAAAACCAATGACAAAAATTACAGCAAAACTTCCATGATTTGCATTGTACAGGCAAATGATACAAAATTATCTAAAGGTATGGTACATGTTGACTTACCCCTTAACACATTTCCATTATAAAAATATACTACTGCAATATATGGGTGTGCCTCAACCCTTTAGGGTGTGTTTGGATAATGGGAAATGAGGGGTGAGATTGGGATTGGGAAATGAATGAAGAGTTAGGATTAAATGTATGAGGGAGAATGAATGGTTAAGATTTAAAGAGGGGTGAGAAATTATTTCCCTTAGACATTTGCCAAACACTGCCTTAGCATCCAAGCTGCTTCATCAATACCTTATCTACTGAACAGGCAGAAATCAGATTCAGTAAATCTCCTAACTCATCAGTTAATAGATGCAACAATGGGGGTAAATCTCTAAATTGATTCGTATGTGGGTGATTCAGAAAGAGAGAGAGAGAGAGAGAGAGAGAGAGATTCAGGAGAGGGTCGACGGCGTCGAGGAAGCCCGCGTGGTCGGCGGCGCGGCCGTGCTCGGAGGGGATGACGTTGGGGATGGTTCGGAGGCGGCGGCGGCGGAGGAGGAGGAGAGGAGGCCGAGCCGAACTGGCGTCCCGCCGCAGTCGCCGGCTTGTGGTCGATCTGCAGGCTGTCAATGCTGGGGTAACTTGCTGCTGTCCCGAAGCAAAAAACAACAATTTTCCAGTGTTGAAATCAATGTCATCCAACAATCCAAGACATGTAAAACGTTACCACTGGATGAATGATGCAAGAACAATGGTAAATGTCAGATTCAATTCAGGGTTCTCGTTCTTGTGGAGTCACTCACATTCAGATGATGCGGCTGCGACGAGGGCACACCACCCAGCTTCTGCTGCTGATACTTGCTCCCGTTCGCCTCCTGCAGGAGATCACCATTGAAGAGGCTGCGACAACCCTAGCTCCTCCTCCTCCTCAGACCATTTCCTCCATGATAGGCTCCCTCCGTGGCCGCGGCCGCCGCGTCCGCCCTCGCGCTCCTCCTCCTCCTCCTGTCCCGCTCGCCGGTAGCACGAGGAGCCGCGTCCACGTCATCACCTACCGCTCCCCCGCCGCCTCTGCGGCCGCGGCCGCGCTCCCGTGGATCGACTGGGCGCGCACGGCGTCGATGAAGGCGGCCCCGGGCTGTTGTCCTTCGCCTCCGATCCGGGCAGCGTGGGTCGGTCGCTGGCGCTGCTCGTGGAGTTCGCTCATGGTCGGCGGCGGCGAGGCCCGGCATGGTCGGGTGAGGCAAGGTGGGAAGTCACGCGGGCGGCGGGTGAGGCTCATGGTCGGCGGCGGCGGCGAGGCCCGGCATGGTCGGGTGAGGCGAGGTGGGAAGTCACATTGTCGGCGGCGGCGAGGCCTGGCATGGTCGGGTGAGGCGAGGTGGGAAGTCACGCGGGCGGCAGGTGAGGCGGGCGGCGTGGCTGGCGTGCGTTCTTTTTTTCGTTCTTTTTGGCGTGCAGTTTCTTTTTTCGGAGCAAGACGCGGTGTTAATCCGGTGCTAATTGTAACCGCAGGATTAATCCGGCGCTAATTGCAATCATGGTGTTAATTACACTAAACAACTCGTGCTTTTTATATTAGTCTAGATTAGAGTCCAAGTCCGATTCAATTAGTGTTAACTAATCGGGTGAGTTAATTGTTAGTAATAGTTTGGTTTAATCCTGGGCCGTCCGATCCATTTGTGTGTGGATCAGATCTGGACGCGTGGTGGTGATGTGATGCAATTTTCCGCGTGGGGTCCCTTGGTTCCTTCGTAATCAAGCTAGCCATGGGCCCACGTGCCAGTCAGAGAGTGGCTTGCGCACTGTCGATGTGCTGGGCCCACCAGTTTTCTTTGATGGGCCTAGATGTAATTGGGCCTTGGTGGATAGAGAGGAGGAGGAGAGAGAAGGAGAGGGAGAAGAGGAGGAGGAGGAGGTCGCCGGCGGCGAGGAGGGGGACGAGATCGCCGGAGATGGACATCATCTCGCAGCTGCAGGAGCAGCTGAACGAGATGGCGATGGTGGCGGTGAACACCTTCGGGACGCTGCAGCGGGACGCGCCGCCGGTCCGCCTCTCCAACAACTACCCGGACCCGCTCAACCCCGCCGCCGCCGCAGCAGCAAACCCTAACCCCGACGACCCCGCCCAGCCGCAGCCTGGAGCGGCGGCGGCGGCGGCGGCGGGAGCTCCGGCTGCGCAGGCACAGGCTCCGCCGGCGCAGGCCCAGCCGCCCGCGCTCGACCTCGCCGAGCATCCCAAGGCCATGAGCCACGCGCTCGTCCTCGCCGCCAAGAAGGTACGCGTCTTCCGTCGCTTATCTTCTCTGCTTGCCACCTGCTCGATGAAATGCCTGAGTGCCTGCTGGTTCTTGGGGTCTGACGCTTTAGGGCTTGGACTGTAATTTTTGGTGTGACCAGCCTTAGCATTTTTGTGTGATTGCAACCACGGTCAGGGTGCCTGGTTCTTTGAAAATTCTTCTACTTACAGAATCATATCTTCTATAGTGAGATTGTTCATGTAGTGTGGTAGAGTACTTTAGTTGCATTGTGCTGTTTTTTAGCCCTCTCGAGATAATTTTGAATGGATCTGCAAAATAGGAGCTTCACTCATATTATTCCTCGCAAAGAAGGGTTGACGATGATGTGGATCACACCAATCTTTGTACTGTTCCTCGCAAAATGTAGGTGGGATGATGGTATGCAGCACACCAACCTCTGTCTCCAGAGGGCAAACTTTGCATCTGAGAGTACACTTGAAATGTGCTACTAGCTACTGTTTCCAATACCGTTCTCTTTTTTTTTTGGTTTTTTTATGCAGTTTGATGCTCTTGTTTCTGCGTTGCCACTATCATCTGAAGAGGATCAGCTGAAAAGAATTAAAGAGCTACAGGTATGTCTCAGTTTTGCCCTCTGAGCAGTACATTGTGAAAGGGTGACATTAAGCTAGTGTCTTGTGAAGATGGTATCTTTGTGCATGTTTCCTTCTGTTTTTTTTTTCCTACGCCTTGTGGATGGAGTTTCATACTAAGGTTGTCCTCCTTAGTCGCTTGCTTTCTTCTGAATGAAGGTTTAGCAGACGCTCGGCAGCATGTCCTGCCATAGTATCAGTATTCATGATACTTGTGTCCTGCAGCTAAAATGCTTATGAATTTGAAATGCGCAGGCAGAGAATGAAGTTGTAGGCACAGAGCTTCAGAAACAACTGGAAGCTGCTGGTATGCTTTGCTATTACATTCTTGGAATATTTTGCCTTCATTATATAATTCCTCACCATGTTACAACTGATTATTTACAAGTCCAGTGTTTTACATGTCTTGTTGCTTTTGTAGAGCTGGAGCTGAAGCAAGTTGAGGCTCTTTTTAATGAAGCTACAGATCATTGTATAAACTTGAAGAAGCCAGAGTAATAGTTATCAATGTAAGTTTGGATTTCTCCCTTCACTATCTCAATAAATCTTTAGCTTTTTTTGTGCTTGCAAAAAATTATGCTTGCGCTTATGATATGGGATTATTTTGTGACCAGCTGTATAATCCGCTTGACTTCCCAAACTTGGTACACTGTATTATCAGGAAGTCAGGATACTGATAACAATTTTGTTCTTATGGTGCTTTTTGCAGTACAATATTCTACATGCACCATTTACTAGATGGCTGTTGGCATCATGTCCATGATCAATTATTGGTTTATGTAGTTTATGTACGATGATGGCCTGAACAAAACATAATTATGGTGGATGTTGACCTGTTATATTAATCCCTCGCAAGATGCTTTCATAAAACCCTCTGGGGGCTTGTCTTTCTGTTGATCAGAAAATTCCAACACAGTGTTGTTACGTATGATCGTAGTATCACTAAAATGACTTATGTTTGCTTTCCTGTCATATCAGGTAACGGAACCCATTTTGGAGTCATGAACAGATGAAGGTGGAGATGTGAATGCCAGCTGCCGATGCTACATGTAGACTCAGTTTTAGTATCAAGTTAGCTGATGCTCAACAATATTCCAGTAGTACTTGTTGGATTAGGAATTAAACCTAGCACTGTAATTTACAGTAACTTGAATAGTTTCAAGCTGGTTCGTTTAATCTGAAATAATTTGAGCATAACTTCATGTTTATTTATTATAGTTGGGCCACTGTTCGTTCACAGCAGCACAGGACCATATAGTGCTATGCAAATACAATTAAGACATGCCTAGGATTCATACTCTTTGAACTTTGAAGAACTGCACTGAAGATATGGAACAATATTATCTCGGTATAAAGCATTCCTCTCTAAAGATTACCCAAACATTGAGGCTAAACATGACTTGAATTCTAGCAACTCTGACACTGAAATATAGAACACCATATTTTCTAGGGGCACTTGGACAAACAAAACATCCCTTGAAAACTTTATTTGTCAAGCTCCAGAGATTGGCTGGCTAACTTGGAGCAAACTCTCAACTCAGGCATACTTGCAATTGCCAGAACCTGCAAAGGTTGGCAAGAAAGCCATGTAAATTTGCAGGATTCAGGTGAAAGAAACAGCAAGTGAAGCAAGCTTTGAAGAGGCTAATACTTACTGGGATCAGTGATGGTGATGAGGCCAGTGCCGTTGAAGAAGCAATTCCATGAGTTCCTCCCCCTGGCCTGGTAGTAAGCGTTCATGGTGACCGACGCCCGCGTCGGCAGGCTGCCATCGTCGTCGGGGAAGGAGCATCCGCCGGTGCCCTGGATGGCGGCGCAGTCGCTCTCCGAGCAGGCGAACTCCAGGTTAGCCCTCAAAGCATCCTCGCTGGCTGCTGGATTTGCGACACACCATGTCTTGGATGACTGCAGGTTTTGCTCAGTTTCAGGCAAGAACAGTTGATGAGCATGGCAAGATCATATGATGCTGCCATTCTGGGTTTGTTTGCATTGCTGCAGAATTAAGGAGAACTGAAATTTCTTGATGAGAACTGAGAATTGTTTGTTTGTTTGTTTGTTTACCTGGCTATGGTATAGGCTGGGTGCTGCTGCTGCTGCTGCTGCTGCTGCATGGAATACAGATTGTGGAGCATTTTGTTGAGAGAATGAGGATTGGAAAACATGGAGCTGATTATTTTGAGCAGACAAAATCTCATCTGATTTCAAAAACAATAGAAAAAATGTTTGATGAAGAAAAGTAGGCTGTAAGTGAGAGATGTGTACCGTTGCTGTGCAGCATGAAGAGTGCGAGAGCAAAGAAGCATGTGAGCAATGAGGCAGTAGCTGAAGCCATCTCTTTTCCTTCTTTCTGAACCTGAGAATGCAATGAGCTTCTTTCTCTGTATTATGATGCGTCAGAAGAAGCAGCAGCAGCGTAATGATTTGGGCTCTTTGTTTGGAATTCTTTGCACGAGGAAACGCTGAAGGTAATATATAAGGGAGGAGGAAGAAGCAACAGAAAGGGCGTGCTGCAGAAACGGTTGGTCTTCAAATCAATCCAATTTATGTCCCATTTATTTGCGAGAATAATGGCTCAGTGCATTGCAGCATTGCTACTATTTATCATCAGGACGGTTACAAGAAATCCCAGTAGATAACTAGCAGAATATAATTGGTCAAACTCCAGACAATACTCAGTAGTAGTACATAACTCAAAATTCACAATTTGATATAAACAAATATACACAAAAAGAAATCTATTGTTTTCATCACAGAGGCAAATCTCCCCAAGCAACATAAGAAAAAAAAATTACGGTTTTCCTCTCCTCAAGTTATTTATTTATTTATTTCCCCGTTGTATCATTGTATGTCATTCGTTCTATTTCGCAGTAACTATACAAGGAGCTAAGACAGAAGAAAACTTATGCACATGGAGCTAGCTTTACCCCACACCACATTCTTGATTCTTTTGTTACAAATCAACATGAACAAAACCAAAAACAAATCTAATCATTCGTTTGGTCCCCTATCTCGCAGCACAAATCCAATGCATGCATTTGATTTGAGTATTTCTCACAAACGATATGTTCATGCATTCTGTACATTAAGAACAGATTTAAGCTCCATTCCATCAGTCCATAAGCATTTGATCATCCTGAGTACAGCCTCAGCTTGGACCGAATCGTCTGTCGACAAATTGGGCATTTGGTCAGGCTCTCCCCACATTCCCTGCAGCACTGTTGTTTTCACAAAGAAAGAGAATCCAATCAAACAAATGTTTTTTCTCTACAATTTTGCATGTCAGAAACAATCCGATCAAACAAATGTTTCTACATATTTGAATAGATTTCATCATCTGTTAAGAGGTTAAAAAAGAAAACTCTGAATTAGTCTGAATTTTCAGTTTACCATGTGGCCACACCCAAATGCCAAGTCCTTGGCATTGGTCAGGCAGATTGGGCACACCTGCAAGAACAAGCAGCAGGTGATGTGTGAGTCAAATCTTGGTCAAACCTAAATTACAAGGAAAAAAAGAACTCTTGATGAAACTATGGCAATTTGCTCTACTTGATCCTCTCTTGGTGACGGTGGGGCGGCGGCAGCGGTGGCGGCGGCGCTGTCTTCCCTCCTCAGCGATGGCTGCCTCCCCGCCGCCGACGGCAGCGGCGGCGGAGCAGGCATGATCCTCTTAGCCTTCCCCGTCGACCGGCTTCGGAGCAGCATCACAAAATAAATCATCAGGTGAAGAAGAGTAGAAACAGCAATGTTGACCAGCTATTGGATGTACTTCCTCCATTTCATAATATAAGTTATTCTAAAATTTCCCACATTTATATTGATGTTACATCAATATGAATGTGAAAATACTATAATGACTTACATTGTGAAACGGAGGGGTATGAATTAAGTGGTGTTTAAAACTGATGAAGATTAAGTTAGCGCGTAAAACGGGAAAGTCATTAGCATATGATGAATTAAGTTTTAATTATTACAAATTTGACAAATGGATATATTTGATATTTTAAAGTAACTTTTATGTATAAAGTTTTTGGACGAAACAAACCATTTAGTTGTTTGAAAAGTGTGCTAACTGAAACCGAGATAAAAAATCTGAATCTGAATATTATTCGTGCCATGCTTCTAAAAGTACGATTTCTCCAAAAGCCTTATGCGTAAGTGCTTCTTAGATAATTTCTTATGAACTACTCCCTCCATCCAAAAAAAATCTCAATCCTGAATTTGAATCTGGACACAACCCAATCCTAGGTTTTTTTTTTTTTGATGGAGGGAGTATTTGTTAGCTTTGTACTAACAGTTAATCTATCCACAGCACCAGATGAGCAATTTTCTTAAGTCCATAATCTATCTAATCATCCGGTTAGAACACGCTCTACTGATAGATATGATCCATTATATTAGAAAAAAAAATGAACGGTCCAGATTAATTCTACTACTAGCAGAGACCATTGTAAAACGTCTCGGCACAAACGTTAAGACTTACCCTAGGATGCCGAGCTCCATGGTGGCCTTGTATTGGATGGGCACCTCCATGAGAGCCGCCAAGGCGAACGCCGACTCTTTCTGCTGCTGCGTCGTGCTCCTCGACATGATCGACGTGAAGTTCACAAACTGCACAAAACAATTAAGTAACCATTGCATTATTGCATGTTTAATCTGCATTGCATTGTGATCAATTCATCTCCAAGATTCAGTTTATGGTGATGAGATTCAGAGGTTAACCTGAAAGTTGTCGAACTGGCGAGCCGGGATCTTGTCGTCGAACTTCTGCATGTCTTCCCATGGGCCATCTCCAACTCCAACAAGAACAATGGATAGAGGGTAGGAGCTGAGTAGATCAATCAACAATTGAAAAAGAAAAATATTTTTTTCTTAAGTAAATTTAACCAATGTCTTTTTGCAAGTCTGAAATTAATCTGAAACTTTGCAGTTTGTGTATACCTTGCCATGACAACGGAGTCCACTGTCCTCCTCTCCTGGGGGCTCAGATCATTATCGCTTGTATCAACACTCCTAGTCACCTGAATTTTGCCACAAATTTTTTTATTACCAGACTGAGTGAATTCTACTAGAGAGTGAGTCAGTGTGACTTTGCAGAAGTGTTCTTCATTTCAAGGAGAGAACCTGTCCATCAGCAACGATGACAAGAACATGATACTGTCCTCCACTCCTGTCAACAATGTCGACGGCCGCCTCGACGATCGGCGCGAAAGAGGTAGGCCCTGCAAATTGCACACAATTTCACCAGTTGAATTGTCAGTGACAGTTCAGTTTTCTGCAGGTCAATGCACAATGCAGAAGGTTTTTCAGAGATGTGAATAGATTGGATCATCACCAGATAGCCTGAGGTGTGGCACAATCTTCTTGTAGCATGATAGGACCTCCTCGAATCCATGGCAGGGTGAGTTGTCAGGATGGAAGCTGAACACATTGTAGTCATGTGTGGTTGCTGCAATGGGAAAAAAGAACAGCACAATTCTTCAGACAACAAAGAAGACAATGAACATCTATCATATGATCATATGTTTTTTTCCTCAAATGTCTAAGTTCTGCACAAATTTTGTTTACAATTCTTGAACATCTAGCACAAATTTGAGCCTCTTACCGTCGCCGAAGCCAAAGCATGGGATGAGATTATCATCGTCGAAAGGTGCCAATGTCTTGCCGATGATGCTGATGGCTTGCTCATATGGATTTGGTGTGCTGCCTATCTTGTGCAGGCTCTGCCCACTGAACGAACGCTTCCCTGAATACACACAGATAATTCAGAACTTTCAGAGCAATGCAGGCAAGAACATGAGCAGTTGAAATAATCAGATCAGATCGAGCAAGGACCAAGGAGTTCTTGGTGAAGATACAGTTAGGACATTATTATCGAAAAAATATATTTATTTCTCCTAAAAAAAATCTACCTGTCCATTCGTTGCTCTTGGTGAAGTCTATGCCAAGTATCAGGTTCGACGACTCGAGCCCTTGATCTCGCAGAGCCGCTGTCACCTGAAGAAAAAAAAATCAATTTGTTGTTCAGGCATTGATTCGATCAGCAATTCAGAAGCAGAAACATGCAAAAAAAAAGAAGCTTAATCAATCACAATATTTGGTCTATTTATCAGTGATCTCGTCGTGTTCATCCACCTGATCGAGAGACTGGTAGTTGTCAGGTATGTACGAGTACTTCTTGGTCAGCATCGCCCTCCGGTGGTTCTCGCCGCCGCCGCCGTATCCCGGCTGGTTCATCGGCGCTCTGTGCATCTCACGACGGTGACCACCACCGCGGAATAACGCTCCGATCACGCCGCCCATGTGATGCAGCAGCGATGACGACGGTGGCTAAGAACCTCAGCTTCTTCTTCTTGTACATGCGAGAAGCAGCTGCTGTCAAGCTACCTCCTCTCTGCTTCTCAGAAAGTTCAGAGATCAATCGATTGATGGATGAATTAAAGCCGCAAGCAACGAACAAGATCGCATAGAAGGCAAGCAATCGATCAACGAGGATTTATTCCTCTGAAATGAGAGGAGAGTTTTTTTGCAGCGAAGCTTCTTGAGTCTTTCGCTGAGCTGAGCCTTTATTCCATCGACCATCGTGTCCTACTGCTTTAGGTCGTCAGAAACGCTATAGCTGTTTCTGTACTTGTTGAGTAATTACATCGGTAATAACAGTTTGTGGATTGGATTTTTTCAGGGTGTAATCTCTGAAACCTCTCGTTAATCATCAGCCAAAGCTGCTAAATCTGAAACCAGGAGCTGGGCATTCTGAAACTTTATGGTTGTTTTTGCTGCAAGTGTTAAAGTTGCAGATTCTTGTGGCTTTCTCTGGAGCCTCATGAGAAAGCGGCTCAGGGATTCTTGAAAAAAAAATGCAGACAGATGCATCGTGACAGTGAAGATATGTTTGGATCATTGCTTGTTTTTGGATTGCTGAGTCAATCTGATGTGTTCTCTTGATCTTTTGGCCTTGCAACTACAGGGAAATTAAATGGATGTAAAGCCCTAAAGCATGTGAGCTGTAGTCTTGATTTAGAACATGGAACTTTTCCCTTTCGAAATGAACGTATCAAGGCCGCCTTTGGAATGGAGGAATTTTGCGGGAATTTCGTGGGAATTGGACTGATTTCTGTGGAATTTCTGCGTTTCGAAGGAGCTCGAAATTCTATAACTAACGTGGAGCTTACGATGTATGTTTGTGATAAGTTCCATACGACTTTCTAATGGGACAATAAAAGTAGTACTGCGCTATAATTTTGGTTCAATATGTGATATTAATTGATACCCTTGAAATCGAAATTTTATGGTATTGTTTGAAATCGACAAAAAATTATATACTATGGTTGGAGTTTCCTCAAACTCTATGTGTTCTAAAGTTGTTATGGATTATGGCTGAAACTGCCGCTTAAAACGAATAACAACATATTATTATAAATTAAAGTTAAAGTTTTGATTTTAAAAAATAATTCTAAGAAATACTAGGAAAAATCGTACTGTTTGCCCGTGATAATGAATACTCCCTCCGTCTTAAAAGACGTTTTTGACCGTTTTAAAAGACGTTTTGACTTTGGTCAAAGTCAAACTGTTTTAAGCTTGACTAAGTTTATAGACAAATATTGTAATATTTATAATACTAAATTAGTTTCATCAAATCAATAATTAATATATTTTCATAATCAATTTGTCTTGGGTTGCAAATTTTATTATTTTTTTCTACAAAGTTTGTTAAACTTAAAAGCAGTTTGACTTTGACCAAAGTCAAAACGTCTTATAACTTGAAACGAAAGGAGTAGTCCGTAAGGGTAGGGGAACTAAACTTTGATACCGTATTTTATTCCCTTTGCGAAAACTTTTCAGGTATATTTTTTCCGAAGTGAATACCTGAAAACTTTTCAGTTCGATATTAATCATGGATTTTATAACTGAGTCAATTTTGCAAGACAATTTTCTTATACCCTTCAAAAGACAAGATAATAACCTTTCAGGTCAGCTAAGAATATTGGTAAAGCAGGCAAGGAGATGATCATGTTGTGGGCGGTTTTTTTTAAGACTATGGGCAGTTGATTCTCACTGGGAATATTGAAACTTACATGTGGCGCGCATATGTGCGCCAAATTGTGTTTGGAAAATGTTCTACCTTTTCCAGCTACAATACTAGACATTCTTTGCAATAATAATCCCTTTTCAAGATTCGTGAATGAATAAAGTGTACTCCCTCTATTCCGAAAAAAACGAATCTAGTACAGGATGTGACATATTCTAATACAATGAATCTAAACAAAAGTATATCCAGATTAATAGTATTAGAATGTGATGAGGATGTGTCACATCCAGTACTAGTTTTTTATAGGACGGAGGGAGTATGTAATATATGGTATGGGCCATATCTTTTTTTAATTCCACCGCTAAAATTATTAAAGAATTGGAGTTTCCTTTCCAGAAATGGCACAAAGAATATTTATGTACTTTGCCTCCTTTGTCCTTGTCCGGCCCATCATCTATCTGAGAACTTCCAAGTCTTCAGGCCCACATGTTCGGCCCAGTTATGTTCTCCTCACAGTTAGCTTTGGGCCCAAGTTATTCATGGGCCTCGAACTTGAAGTGGCCCATCTAAAACCAAAACAAACCAGCCCAGCTAACTCAACCCGCACTCTGTCCCCCCGACTCGCCGCCCTACCTCTCCTCCCGCCGCCGCGGCCGCCGCTCGCCGCTCGCCGCCGCCGCGTCGCCTCGCCCTGCGGCTTCGTGCGATCCATTCTACGCTGCTGCGCCGAGCGGGGACGGAGGCGAGGCGAGGCGGGCGGGTGCTCTGATGGTGCAGGCTTCGGCCGCGGCGCTGCGCCGCCTCGGGCGCCGCCGCGGCGGCGATCCCGCCGCCGCGCTGCTCCGTTGCGGCGTCGTCCCCTCGTCGTCATCCTATTCTGCTCCGGGGACGCTGCTCCCGCTGAAGCAGCCGGTGGGGGATTGCGGCGGCTGCCGCCGCAGCTTCAGCTCGTCCGCTTGGCTGGGTCCCCGCCTGTGGCGCAGTCTGCATCGGCGTCAGAGCGCGGCGGCCGCGGCCACGGCCACGGCTTGGGAGGCGCACCACTCGACGAGGTGAGGTAGAGTAGCTAGCTAGTGGCTGCTTGGCGAAGGGCTGCGCATTTTAATTCCTCATTTCATTTCTACATTTCGTTTTCTGGTGCTGATGTATTTCATATCTTGTTGGTTTGCCTCTGTCCAGGAAGAGCTCCATGGCAACAGTATCAAGTGAGCCTGACACATCTGCTTCACAGTCTGAAATCCTACATTTCATCAAATCCACCTTTGGGACACTTGAAGGTATACCATGCAATTGTTTAGTGGAGAATAAACCAAAAAAAAAAAAAACAAACCAAAATCGTTATAGAGGATGTTGCATTGTTGCAAATGGCTAGCTTGTTTCTGTTAAGATTTGCAATGTTGTTAATATTCATGTGCCAAAAAAAATCATAAATTTCCTTCTAGTTACCATGTTTTCCCACCTGAACCGTTTGCATTGTTTGTGAAGAGGCTGTTCTGTTCTAACGTACAAGAGTGTAATGATTTTCATCGTTATTTATTATGTTTCGTCCAAGTTCTTCCAAAGCTGAAATGAACTTGCGTCTGGTACAGGAATAGTGCTAGCCTTTGCTTGTAGATGCGAGTAAATGTGCTGCTCCTTATTCCTGAGGATTAATTCCTTGGTATAACCTACAATTTATTGATGCAGGGCAAAACCATTGTTGGTTGAACTGCATGAATGACACCTGGAAGACCCTCAATCAAGGAGTATACCTTATCCTTTTATATGAATCTTGTGGAACATCAGACAGCCATGGAAAACTTTCATCTGCTTTTCAAAGATTGAAGTATCTTCAACAGAGGTATTTATGTAAGGCATGCTGGTTTTCTAGCCTGACAAAATCTGGAACTTGTTTTAACTCCTCCCCTTCTTAGGTATCCACGTCTGACTGTTTTCGCTATGGAGTATGGGAGTGATATTAGTTCCCTACAAAGCCAAACAGTTCATACAGTAATGAAGGAGTACTTTACTTTTCCTATCTTGATGTCAGATAAAGACTTTACACATGTAAGGCACATAACCTCGAAATCTTAGTAGTACTATAGAAGTTTGAAAATGTTTTCATGATCAATAAGCGTTCGTGAATGGTGAATTTGTGATGCATAAATAACTGTATTCCACTTTTCGTTGATGCCTTTGGTGTATTTTTATTGCATTTTAACCTGGAGATTTCACCTATATATATTCTACAAATATGTTATGCACATTTGGTATATTCAATTTTGGCAGTGTTAGACTCAGTTTCAAGAGCTCTCTAATCATGTCTCTGTTAAAATTGAAGACCTTGTGTTGCATTTTCTTGTATTAAATACTTTGTTGAAACAAGAATGTCCTTTCATGAGTGTTCAGATTACAAATGGTGCTTGCTGCTTGCTATTTGAAGGTTCTAAGGATCATGCCCTCTTCTCAAATTTGGATGAAGAGCTTGAGGTTTTGATCAAGGGTAAAAACAAAACATAGCTGGCTATATTTATAATGTTATAAATTATGTCTTGTCTAAATTTTCTGTTCTCTTGAACTTTTCTGCTGTGTTTTTGTGCTTAGTTTGATGCTCATCATTTGTTAAGCCTGCAAATCTTTATTGAAAGCAGGCATGGACAATGCTGTCTTGAAAGCTGAACCTTCTGACACTGCTTTAGAATCAAGAGTTTCTTGGCAAAAAGAAGAGGTTCCTAAAGAACCGTATGTTGGTTCTGTAAGAAATTTGTTACTATACCATCCTGGTACTTACTTGTCACCTTTTTCTGGCATATAATTTTCTACTTAAACATCAATATTGCAGCCTAATTCTATGAAATTGATGACATGTTTTTTCCCATTTAATCCAGAAGTTGTAAATACTCAAATAGTCAACTTAATGTGCTGTAGCTTGCATATCGGTTGATGAAGATGGAGATCGCATTTTCATCTCAGACAGTAACCACCATAGGGTCATCATTAGCAACAGCAATGGGACTATTTTAGATTATGTATGTATGACTTTCTGTTTCAGTTGGGTTTAAATCTTATCTGCACAGAGTGTAGGACTGCAGCCATGCAGGATGATAATTGTATTTGCCCTTTTCAGATTGGATGCTCCCCTGGCTTTGAGGATGGTGAATTTGAATCTGCCAAGTTCTTGCGCCCTGCTGCATCATTTTATAATACTGCTGAAGATTGTCTGTATATTGTAGATTCAGAGGTAATTATTCACAGTAGAATCAATTCCTTTTTTTTCTCTACATGAGAAGTATGCTCTTTTCAGTAGCGATAGTTTTCTTGAGTACTGTGTATTCAATTATCCGTAGGTCTTGTTTGCATATTACACCTTCTACTTCTTTCCTTGTCCTTTACCTTGGATAATTTACAACTACACATGTACTAATGCATCGCATTCAAACCATACTGCCTGATTCTTGTTCAGAACCACGCAGTTAGAAAAGCAGATTTGGGAAGGAGGATGTTAGAGACCGTTTATCCAGTCTCCAGTAAAAGTAGCAGTGGCATCTGGAGTTGGATTGTTGATAAGCTAGGCTTGAGACGGGAAGATGCTCCAAGTGAAAATTTCATTGCAGATTCAATAGCATTTCCATGGCATTTGCTAAATATTACAGAAGATGACTTCTTAGTAGCAGACCGCAAGTATGCACAACTTCTCGCCCCCTACACGTTGACCTTCTTTAAATATCAATTGGATTAATTTGTCTCTCTCACAATGGCTATAGCCATTTGCATCTAATTTAACTTATTTTCAATTTTCTGCACCTTTTCTATGTTAGATTGTCATTCGTTTGGGGGTTGACATGTTGTGCATGTACAGTCCAGTCAGATCCCAGTTTTAGTTCCATATCGATAATGGAGCTCAATAATGGTTCTGTGGATGCTTGCTGGCTATTCTTTTGATCAAGTGTGACAAGAAGATGCTTCTTTCGGGAATGCAGAACAACATTCTTCTTAAGAGACTTTTCTTGTTCATGGTGAACCTATAGTTTTTACAAGAAATATTTTACCATCTATGGCTGTGCTTAAATAAACTATTGAAGTGCTTAATTCAGTAAAGCTGCACTACTTTCTTGGTTTTTAACTTTTTATATGGCATGCACACACAATATACTGTGCGTCAGTTATAGGTGGTTCCTGTTTCGGACATATTATCTTGATGATTTGCTAAGAAATGTTTCTTAGTTCTTATATTACTGTTGTTTGCAGCTTTGAAGCATCATGGATCTTGAGTGTATCAACTGGTCAAAAACAGGAAATTGGAAGAGGTCAGTGAATTCCTTTTTTTGGTATGTCAGATTTAAATTTCCCTAGCTCATTGAAGAGTTAAAGTCTTGTGAAGGTATAGCTGAAGAAATGGAGTCATATCAGCAAATAATACATGAAAGATGTGCTCTCCTGAAGGATATGAACATGAATTGGTCGTCAAGTGCTAAAGAGCATTCTGATCTGTTGGGGAAGATCCCGTTCAAGGAACTTGTCTCGTCTGTTGCAAGATTTCAGAAGTACATTATCTTCTGTGATGCAGGTTGATCTATAAGCTATTATTGATGTTAAGACTTGATTTTCTGTCAAATTATATAATAAATGGTTCCAATTTATTTCCTTTCTGTGAAGATGGTCAAAGGGTTTTGAAGCATGACTTGGATACCAATGGCACCTCAAATATTCAATTTTCGAATTTTGGGGTCCTTGGGTTGCCGTATTGGTTTGTTTGCCATCTCGAGAGAGTATCAACCAGGTAAGCTGCTTATCCTATATTTATATGCTCAACGTGTTTGTGATGACATGGAAATTGATATGCTGATGGTAGAAGCTTGAGTGTGCACTGTTTTGATATTCATTTCTCTTTGTTTTGTAATGAATCGGCAGGGGACATTCAATTGGAAAATTTCAAGAGCATACCCGTAAAGTAAATGTGCTCCCAGGTAAGTGATAAATTAACAGTATCTGCCTGTTACTATTATCCGGTTGTTCCATGTGTGCCACATGACCATCATTGACTGCACTTATGACAGCTCTAAATCTACTTGCAAGTTTATGGTCACATGACCTTTAGACCCTTGTTACCTCAGACAGAGTGGTATCACATTTGCTTGCTTTCAGCATTTTTTTTGTAACTTGCGGTGCCTTCAACCTCAATTGCTTTTGAATTGACAGCAGTCATGTGCTGCAATTGCATAATACAAACCTTCCAATTCTAAAACAAACTGCACAAATTTGAATAATCATGAGAAATAATGTAAGTTACTCAGGTGCATAATTTTAAGAGGAGCTTTACTTATTGTTTTGTCTACTGATGCCACACTGTACTGCTATGTGGGATTCATTCAAGATATTGGTGTAACTCGATGTGTTCATTTCACAGGAAGATGCAATATAAAGGTTTCTGTAGATATACCAGCTGATACTCAACTTGCCGCGCCTTTGGTCGAGAGTTGTATTTGGCGCCAAGTAAGGGGATCTGGTGCTGAGGTATCTGGTTTTGATGAACCATCCACAAGCACAGAAAAGGTAAAAGGAACTCCTTATTTTGTTCATGAACTCTGTGATCTCTTGCATAGAGTTTGACCACAGTTGAAAGAAGCTAATCCTTGATCCGATGCACATGAACTCAGGTTGGTATAGCACAGCAATGGTATGATGAGATAGACAACCTAGCTTTTTCTGAAGTTCCTGAGGAACCTACAGTGCATGAAGGTGATGAGAACCTTTCAGATGGAAGTTATCAAGAACAGAGAAGAGCGCATTTCAACTGTGTTGTTAATGTCAGTCCTGGGACATGCGAGGTTCGTCTGTCTCCTCTAAAAAACAATCTTCTACCTTGTTGGAGGGAAATGCCTTTACTGTTGTTATGTCATGATAACTCTCAATTACTCATGTTTTCATCACCTAGAAGTTCAGACACATTGTTCACACAATGCCATGTTGCCTTTGCAGCTGGTGGCCTCTGCTGCGTTGTACCTGAAGATCGATAGCGCGAAAGATGACCACGGAGAACAGAAATCACTGGTGAAGAGGATCATCCAGTGCCAGCGTCGCGAGGATCACGCAGGCGTTGAGCTACTGATGGAGAGCTGCAAGGATTCGAGGGACCTGACAATCATGAAGCCGGTGCACCTGAGGCTGATGCTGGAGTGTGCCGATCATCCTGCTGGGACCACCAACAAGGAGACCATCAGCTCAGAGTCCAGCTTTGAGATAAACATCTCTTTAGATTAGTTTCCAATGATACGCATAGCATGATAGAGCAGCAGAGTAGTTTGATTTGTTCGCTAGAGAGAGAAATTCAACACTTTCAGATAGTTTTGTATCTCGATGGTCCTGTTCCACATGAAAATTTTCAGTTGAGAAACTGGTTCATGGAGCACTTAAGTTTTTTTTTTCTTTTGGCTCAACTTTACTACCACAAGTCTGTAATAACTTTCTCCACTTAAATAGTCTAAAAGTTCGAATCCAAAATTTTGAATTCAACAAAAATCGAAATTCGTTGCATTTGGTCTCTTTTGTTTTGTGCCAAGACCTTTGTGCCTGCACCGTTATACAAGTCCACCTCAGCTCGATTTGAAAAAAAAAAATCGGTCAGTAATATTTCCTCTTCGTTGTTGTTATTCATGTGCATGATGCAAATATATTTGATCAAATTCAGATGTTATCTTGAGCAAGCTAGAAAATTTAGCATACTCTGAATATCTCTCATTTTCTCTATGTCATCAGTCTCCAAATTCTTTCAAGGGTGTCTTTCCAAACTTGAACTGAAGGTTAGCTAGCTCATAGTGTTCCAAACATGAAACATGTGTGAATTTGGAAACATCATTCGAACTACTTACTCGCACACCCACTTATATGTGAGTAGGTAATCTACAAACCCACTTATTAAAGATCAAAATAAGCCACTTACCCGCTTATTTTAACTTATAAATGAGTTCGCGGATTAGCCACTTACACTCTTAAACTGATCTTGGTGATCGACCCGACGATCAGGTGTGGTGATGAACTGATGATCAGCTCGGTGACAATAATTTCAGCAAAGGCATCATATAGCACAACAACATCTACGATCGCTATGATTTCAAGAGACATGAGCTCACTAGCTCATTATCTAAAAAATGAGCTCACTAGCTGGCTGAGCACGATGGGATTATCATGTGTTCATTATCCAAAAATATTTGACTTGGTATTATTCTAAAAATGTTTATATTTTAGGTCGGAGCGAGTACTACTAGTATACCTAGTATACTTTCTCCATCCCATAAAAAACCATGGTACTATATTTTCATTTCATACTGTATACACCAGCTCTTAAAAAAAAAAACTGTACACACCTGCCTAACGCTGACGAAAAAGATTTTGACCACTCCCAAAAAAAAACCACACAGGTTTTGACCTGTTCCAGTGTCACTGACTTGTGGGCCCAGGAGTAGCCGCGGCTTGCCCTCGCCGACCTTTTCCTTGGCGATGGGAGCACGCGAATCACGACGCACGCACTCCCTCCTTCCCTCCCTCCTATTTCTACCGCCGACGCGGCCGCGAGCCACGGCGAGCAGCGGCGGAGCAGCGACGCGGCGGCCATGGAGAGGACCGCGGCGGAGGCAGCGGCTGGGGGGAAGGGGGCGTGGAGGGACGGCGCCGTGACGTACCTCCACCTCCTCTTCTACATCGCCATCTCCGGCGGCCAGATCTTCTTCAACAAGGCAAGCCACCAAAGCAACCCCTCTATCAGCCGACACCATCCCCTCCCCTCTTCTCTACCCCCGCGCTTCTCCGGCGGATTCTGCCTGCGCGTGCGCGTGATCCGCCGCCGGCGTGCCCGGCTGTACGGCGCGGCGGGCGGGGGGTTTTCTGTGGCGGCTCGTTTTTGTTTCTGGTGCTGTACGGTGTGCGAAATGGGTAGGATTCCGGATTTCTGTTCCCCTCTAGCTTTTCATGGATGGTCAGGAGGGTTTAGATTAGTGTTAATTGTTGTCTCAGTATTGGCGTCATGGATGTTCTGACACCGCGGGATGCGTGTAAACTTGGTGAAAATTGGTGGATTGCATCTCCGTGTGCGGTCTAGAGTGAGCGCTTTCGAGATTCGAAGATGGTGTCAAGCTTGAGCTCTCCCATAGCTGAGAATGGGGTTTTGTCGTTCATATTCCATAAGAACATTACTTTTTTTTTCAAAGATGATTAATGCCTTCTGTGTGAGACATTGACGCAAAATGTTGTTAATGCCATCGCCAAGTTCCAAAAACTGAGTACCTCATATTCCATAAGAACATTACTTTTTTTTTCAAAGATGATTAATGCCTTCTGTGTGAGACATTGACGCAAAATGTTGTTAATGCCATCGCCAAGTTCCAAAAGCTGAGTACCTTAGATCTGAGGATTCTCATAGGAGTGCTCGTTTTCTTGCTTAGTTTTACTGCTAAAAAATCTAGATCTATTTCTATGGGAAGGGTTGACTTTCTTTGTATGACAGCTGAAAGGTACTTAACTTACTTCCATAATAAGGAATTAGATTCTTTTTGCTGCTAAAGTGTGCAGAGCACAAGAAGTTCATGGTTTTAGTTTGGTCCGGTGCACTAATGTTTGACATTTGTCGACCAATTAGATACTATCTTCTACTGGAAAGTAACTTATACACCAGAAAGTTCATTTGCTCTATGGTTTTCATTATTACTTCAGTCTAACTCAATAATAGACTAACATCATTCCGAAAATCACATGGCAAAAGTAGTACCAGCTTTTCCATATGCACAAACATATTTATAACATTGATAACTCCTTGGCTGCTTATGACTTCTTTTTAGCAAAATGATTAGATGCTCATCATGTATTAGGGGCCTTAACACATGATTCCAACTTGGCTTCCTAGTGTAATTTATGGGTTATTGCTACTTGACTCAATATGCGTGGAATTGTTATTGCCACAAAGTTACTGTCAGTTGACAAAGTAGTACCAATTTTGCTGGGCTGTCAAAATTGTATCAACTATATTGGATTTTTTATGTTACACATGCAGTTGCATGATGTTTCAATTTTACTACAACGTCAAACATAATTTTATGTTCAGTAGCAACTTTGATGAACAGCCTTTCAACACACTCCATCGTTGTTCCCGGAGATGTCCGCAAATTCTTTTTCCTTGATAAATGTAACCTTGTTAACTAGTATCATGTATTTGCCTGATGCAGTGGGTTTTATCCTCAAAAGAGATCAACTTCCCCTATCCTGTGGCATTAACTCTGCTGCACATGGTTTTCTCATCTGTAGTGTGCTTCGCAATTACAAAGATCTTCAAGGTACTTATTCATGTGCATTAAAAAAAAAGCTCTCTGCCAATAATCCCTGCAAAAAAAAAAAAAAGAAATCCCTAATCTTTGTAATAATTGAAATTCTTCATGGTTCCAACAGCCTTTTTGGCACTCAGTACATCCATAAACTTATTATTTCCCTTTATTTTGATGATATTTCCCAGATTGTAAAGATTGAGGAGGGAATGACTACCGATATGTGAGTCATGTATAATTCTCTTATTTGCACAGTAGGTTTTCATCAGTATATCATGTTCCATGATCCATCACAGCATGAATAAGACATTCGCAAGTCTATCCCTCCTTTATAAGAACTAATCAGGAATAGAGTTTATGGATTTATGCTGAAGAATTATTATTATTTCCTTAATGACATTGTTGGATTTTTGTCAAAAATAGATACAGATATGCCATGTTAGAGAATGAAAAAAAAGGATAACAGTTAAAACAACTGTTTCTTGAAACCTCCTCTTAGGGCAGTAAAAGAGTGTTGTGCCATTTGTTGTTAATGACGAAAAATACTTTATTCTTAAATTTTCAATTTATTGACTGGGGCCTGGTGGAGCAGCTGAATATGCATATGGTAAAGTTAAGAGGCATAAAATGATGGAACATAATAGAAGTCATTTGAAATTTGGCAGTCCTTGATTTTGATTGGATGGAGGGAGGTTTGTTAATTCTGAATAGTGTAATGAGTAGGCTTTCTTGTACTCTTTTGGAAAGGTTCAATTTTCAATATTTGGCTGTAGCTACCCATCTGCACTTGTTTAGATGCTCTGCAATATTTCTATCTGAATTCAATACCATTGTTCCTCAGGAGAGTCTTTTGCTATTTGTTTCTTAACTAGCATATAACACTGAACTCCCGGCATATTGCTTGCTTGTGTTGTTCATAATGAGTACCAGAAATCCAGAATTGTATTTCTTTCTTACCAGTACATCTGGGCTTGCAGATATATTAGTTCAGTCATTCCAATCGGAGCAATGTTTGCAATGACACTCTGGCTAGGGAACAGTGCTTACCTCTATATATCTGTTGCATTTGCACAGATGCTGAAGGCGATAAGTATGTGAGCTGCTTTTTTTATCGAGTCATAAGGTTTTTTTTTTATTAATTTAGAATATGATGTTAATGTACTCTTTGTTGGAAAATTGTAGTGCCAGTAGCTGTGTTTCTCCTTGGAGCTGCCTTTGGCCTTGAAGAAATGAGTTGTAAAATGCTTGCTATCATGTCTGTCATCAGTGTTGGGGTTATTGTGGCCTCTGTTGGTGAAATTACAATCAGCTGGGTTGGTGTGGTTTACCAGATGGGTGGAGTTGTCGCAGAAGCCCTTAGACTGATCTTCATTGAGATTTTTCTGAAGAAAAAAGGTGTTAGGCTTAATTTGATTTCCATGATGTACTATGTTAGCCCTTGCAGGTATCTTGACCACTCGATCTCATAATTAATTAACTTGAAAACTTTTCATTATTTTGACTTTGTCATACCATTTTCCTGCAGTGCTTTGTGTCTCTTTATTCCCTGGTTGTTCTTAGAGAAGCCCAAGATGGATGAAAGTGCCTCATGGAACTTCCCACCATTCACATTGTTCTTAAACTGCCTGTGCACTTTCATCCTCAATATGTCAGTTTTCCTTGTCATTTCCAGAACTAGTGCACTGACAGCTCGTGTTACGGGAGTTGTGAGGGATTGGTCCGTGGTGTTGCTGTCAGCTGCTATCTTTGCTGATACACAGCTTACCTTTATAAATATAATTGGCTATGCCATAGGTATTGTACTGACTTTTCTCTAACTGGATTAACTTCATACTATATATCTTTGGAGCCCTTGTAGTTCCATTTCACTTTCTTTTCCCTATTAACCTCTGTAAGCAACTGCATTTAAAAGTGGATTAGATATTGACCATCCATTTTTATGTGTTCTGCAGCAATAGCAGGTGTGGTTGCATATAACAATCGTAAGCTCAAACCGAAACCCCAAGGGAATGAGCAGCAGAGTGCTGACAGCAAAGCCAACCCAGGAAGCCCGCAAGATGTTGAGACATCGATCTCGACTAAAGAAGCTTCATAGCACTGAAAGCTGTGAGGTTTTGAACAGATTTTTGAAGAAGGTAATATAATTCCGAAGCTTGCTAATGCATACATTTGTTGTATCCACAAAATATACTGATGGTCGTTGCATATGCTTGTGAGTTGTGATACAGGAGAAATGAGCTCTCGCTTTTCCTTTGAGTTGGTCAGCTCTCCTTGGATACATTTTTTGTTCTCTTCCTACTTATCAGCAGGGAAGACATTTTGTACAACAATGCTTAAAGAAGCGAAGTGTATACGTTAGCGTACCGTTTTGTTCGCTCGAAAAAGTCAGAGCACGCCATACATATCAACTAGGTTCTGTAGATGTATTTTGTTGTCATTTGAACTTGCTGTAGCAATTTATCAGGTTCTTCACAAATATGCAACCTGATTCTTATACAATGTTTTCCTTACCTAGGAGGTCCTGCCAATGGAGGACTGCCTGTGTCAAGTATGTGCAAAATTTTCAAAGATCAATAGTTTGATATGTAACCTCCAAAAACTACTTAAATTCAATGTCAATCCATTCTATACATTTTGCACTTGGAACGATTTGAGATTTAAGATGCTTGGTCCATATAACATTTCGAATGAATCGTCCAACTACACTTATCAGATCTCAGGTGACGAGTGTTCCAATCATTCTAGTTGTAGCATCACCTACGCGCCATTGCATTAAAGCATGATAAAGCTCCCAGAAATCTGCTCTTCACAAGAATCCCAAGTTACTGTGAAACTTAATTGAAGCTTTTCATCTTGAAACCTGGAACGTGCTGAAACTCTTTACAACCAAAACAGTTGCTCACTTGAACCTTTGGTGGTGGTGGTGGTGAGTCTGGCACAAACCCAATTTCTATAAATTGGTCGGTCTCTCATGTATGTGTGCTTGTTAGACTAATATAAGACATAGTCTAACTAAAAGATCAAACAAAAATGAAAGCCAACTCATGCATTTTATGGGCAGTATGGACCGATTAAATGACAAAGATATACTACTCTAGATCATGCAATTTAATCATCAGCAACTTATGAGAATTCAGTTAATGTCATTAGAAGATCCAAGACTTGATACATTTAGCACTGTCAACTTCTATATCATCACGCTAATCAGATTATGTGTCATTGTTATTTTCATAAAGTGAGAGATGGATTGATGAATCTTTTTGTGGTATATAGCCAAGACAGTTTGTTCTTACAGTATATAACAAGTTAAAGCAGCAGAATATATGGTGGAGGCGTGCAAACCACTTCATAAACATTTCAAACAATTCTCAAAATAATCCCATGCATGGTGAGGTGATATTATGCAACCATGTAAAAAGTTCAAGAAGAAAAACTCAATCCCCATTTGTGAGATAGTATGAAATACTAACCGGCGAGTTGATGATCTGGGGATCGTCCCTACCACGCCTGAACAAATAGACACATCTATAGTCATACTGATCCCTTGCTAGCACTGTACCGAAGACGCTGATAGGGTAACCCACATCAGATTTGATAACCTTGATTGAGATGATATTGACGGAGGTCTGCAAATCGGGATAAACAGAGTAAGTGAGCGAGTCGATCGGTGGCCCAAGCCCAGCCTCGGCTGTAAGATCAGGGCAAGACACTAGTTAAAATCAAACAAAAAAAAATGTTTTTACACATTAACGGACTCATCGTTTCGCTTATTCGGGGAATAAGCCAAATGATATATTTGCAAATAAAAAATAATTTGTGAATAAAACTTTTATATACGTGTTCTTAACGATATAAAAGCAAAGACTGAAAAATAAACTTCGATGAAAAAACCCCAAAATCAACTCCAAATTTAAAGTTAAAAATTCAAATTTTGTCTGATAAGCATAGGAAAAAGATAAGGCTATAAATAAATTCATCAACAAACGTATTTATATTGCTCGGATATACATGCATCTATGGTTGTATGGATGAACAAGAAATTAAATTAATTAAGTTAATTATGATGGCGAAGCTGATGGATGTACTCACACTCCTTGTGGAGGTCGAAGAAGGCAGCGTTGAAGAGGCAAAGGCGGGTAGGCTCAAACCACTCCATCTTGGGGTCGAATTCAGTGACTTCCCATATACTACCTTCGTTTTTTAATAGATGACGCCATTGACTTTTTCTTACATGTTTGACCATTCGTCTTATTCAAAAATTTTATGCAAATGTATAAGATATAAATCACACTTAAAGTACTATGAGTGATAAAAGAACTCATAACAAAATAAATTATAATTACGTAAATTTTTTGAATAAGACGAATGGTCAAACATGTGAGAAAAAGTCAACGACGTCATCTATTAAAAAATGGAGGGAGTACGAACTATGTGAAGAACCTTCAACACCTTCTCCTCCCATGTGAGCTTCTCCTCCTCCCAATTCTTCCTCCTCCTCGGTTTAGGCTTCAGCTCCGACTTAGGGTGTGTTTGGTGTCATGGGTTCAAACTACTAAACGGTGTGTTTTTTAAAAAAAGTTTCTACATGAAAGTTGTTTAAAAAATCAAATTAATTTATTTTGAAAAAAATAGCTAATATTTAATTAATCACATGCTAATGGACTGCTCAATTTTCCGTGCGGGGAGATGGTTCCCAACCCCAAACTTACGAACACACCCTAGTCTCCACCACCTTCTCCTTCTCCTTCTCCTCACCATATGTGTGCTTCTCATTACAATTCACCTTCCCCATCTCTCCATTGCCACCGCCGCCACCACTGCTACCTGCAACCGTAAGGGGATTTTGATTTTCTTCTTTCTTTTGTGTGTATACAGCAAAACAACATTGTGATGAACAAACGAAGAGGGGCTAAAGCTTACTCGAAGGAATCTCGGAGCAGGGATGTTAGTAACTCATGTTACTGGACCTTGAGCTGAAGCTACTAGCCCACTGTGGCCCATCCGATTGGAAAAATGACAATACAAAAGAACAAGCATCAGTCAGGGAGAGGGGATCGATCGATCAGAAGAACCGGACGGCGGCGGCGGTGGCGACCTGGAGGCCGGTGGGCTCCTTGTCGATTTCTTCTCCACCATTCCTCCTACCTCCATCCTCTTACTTCTAGAACCCCTTCTAGAACTTGTATCCCTTTTCTTCTTCCCATTTTCTCCACCAAACAAAGAGTTGTACTGAATATTTGTTGCAATTTTGCTTAGAGAAGTGGGTCTCTAACAAGGGTCTAGGGCATTCGGTGGGGGTTTGGGAGGCGGCTAGGTCAACAACCGCGCGAGCCTTCTCCTCCTCCTCCTCCTCCGATGCGAGCTCCCGAAGACTCTGCTCCGTCGCAGCATCTGCATCTCCGCCGCCGATCACCGTAGCGCGCCGCCGCTCGCCCGCCTCCGCCTCCGCCATATTTGCCGCCGTCGCCGCCGCTGTTTCGGAGGAAGAAAATTTAGGGGCTGTTCAAATTTTTGTCATTTTGAACCATTCCATTATTTAGCAAGTTGCCAAAATTTGGCTTCATTTGGTTTGTTACCAAATATTGATAATGCCCGTAGAATTTGGCAAGATTCTAGAAACTTCTCCTCACAAAATTATGCTAATATTTGGTAAGGTAACAAACTAAACATTACCTTTACATTTCTAACTTGCCAAAATTTTGACAATAAATTTTGGCATTGCCAAAATTTGACTTTACCAACAAATGGTAAGGTTGATTTTGGCAATGAACAGACCCTTAGAAAGGCTTTTTAGTGGGCCTTGAGGCCCGTTAGAAAGGCCTTTTACCCAGGCCGAGCAACCTGCTGCGACTCACAGAAAAGTTCATATTTCCTCCCTCAACTACGGCCAGAGGAGATGAAAGGCCTTTTATGTGGTTTTACGGCTGAGAGGAAAAAATCGGAGATAATATAGATTTTTTTACAGAAAAGGCGTTTTTATTAAAAATGATATAGAAATTGTTCTTTTTACGTATAGTTATCCGTTGATAGTGAGACATCTGGAGACACGCGTATACTTCTATTGATCATCTCTGAAAAACTGCAAAACTGAAGCAATGGTATTGCCATAACAAATGGGAAAAGTCGAGCACACAGCTGCTAATTTTGTGCTGAAAGCCTGAAACAAAGCTACCTCAATCGGATTATCATAAGGCAAACAGACCCCTTAGTCATGAAACACAAAATCAGACTAAACTTTTGCAAGTTGAGAAAGTGCAATTGCGGTTACTACATTAACTGAATCTTGTCACAAAGAACCACACAAGCTACGACCAAGATCCAAATTCATATTAGATAGATAGTACACATAAAACAGAATCTTAATTACAATGCTGATAACAAAAGACATTTCCTCCTCCAGAGAGGTTACTATTAACATCTTTCCAATGATTTTAAACTTAATCACACTAACATTCTATTTCTCCCTGTGCTCTCCCACATCTTGTGTTCTCCCGTTCTCACTACGCCTGTCCAGATGACCTTCACCTGCAGCTCAAAACGGCCTTCTTTGAAACTAGATTCTTCATCATAGTTGGTAAGAACAAATTCAAAGCATTCGTCTTCATGGTCATCACCATGAAACAAAATAACATTGAGCACTAGCTCTTCATCCAATGGGACTACTACTATATGACGAGATAACTCAATAGATCCATCATCTCCAAGTTTTGTTGGAGAGCCTGTCACTTGGGTATCATGTAGAACGATCTCATTGTCCTTATTTCCACTAGTCCAAGCAATCACTTTACCGGTGAAATCAGATGGCCCATCCAAAATATTGACTGCAAGTGAAGCTTCTACAGCATAATCAACAGGCGTATAAACCAAATCTATTTTGCTCAACCAACTTGTTAGATCTAAAGTCATGAGTTTCTTTGTGTGACGGATACAACTGTGTTCTATCACACCTTTGCCGAAATCTCTGTCAACATCCCCATCGCCCAAAATCTTCAAATTGAACTCGAAAATTATAATATCTTTTGAAGCAAGTGCTCGATATGGGCCTGTCAAGGTTAGACTATCCTCCTGCACATGGATATTCAAGGAAAAGCAAGTTGATAAAAAACAACATAAGGAACAAATAAACTCAATTAATATACCTCAAATATAATTTCTAATGACATCAATATCATGCCAAAGAGAAATTTGGGTAGATTCGATACGACACGAAGATATGAGCTTTTATGTGCTTATCACCAAAAGATTTAGGATCACTTAGATGCCACTACTAGAAGATCCAAGACTTTCAAAAAAATTTCACACCACCAACTACTGTCTCAAAAGACGCGAATAGGGAAGAACCTAATATCAAATAATTAGAAGGGGTGAGGATTTGAACCCAGGTCGTCTAGCCCACCACCTTGTGGAGCTAGCCGGAAGACCTCTGGGCATTTCTCCCACCAACTACTGTCTCATCCCATCAATCAATTAACCTGCTAATCAGGTTGCATCTCCCATTGTACAGGTTTGTTATGTTTACAATGTATTTGATTAGTAGAAGCAATGTTTAAGAGGGATACATGAGTACATACCGGTGAGGTGATGAGTTGGGGATTGTCCCTGCTTCGCCTGAACAAATAGACGCATCTGTAGTCTTGCTGATCCCTCGCAAGAACGGTGCCATATATTCTGACAGGGTAACCCACGTCGGACTCGGCAACCTTGATCGCTATGATATTCAGTGAGTCATCCAGCCACCAATATTCAGAGGGATCGAGCGAGTTAATTGGTGGCCCAGGCCCAATCGTTGCTGTATCAAAATCAATATTCCAAGAATGTGAATGTTTCGATGCATGATATGGACACATAACGATCAAGGATGTATATGTATACAACTACTACAACATATATATACTAGGTGTAGGGATGAACATGAATGGATTTAAGATAATGAAAAAGAAGGAATTATGATTGGAAATTAACAAAATAATGTATACTCACACTCTTTGTCAAGATCGAATAAGGCTATGTTGTGGATGCAGAAGCGGGTGTATACGATCCCACCTTCCTTGGGGTCATATTCAGCAAACTGATTGCGACGAACAATGTGAAGAACCCTCAGCACCTTATCCTCCCATGTGGGCTCCACTTGCCGCTGCTCACCCACATCCTCCATCTCAATGCTGCATCCACTACTAACATCTTCTTCGGCACCAGCTGTAAAATAAAAATGCCATATTAAGATATTTTTAATTTTTATTATCTTATACGTTACATCCAGCAGCAACCAAGCAAGGAATCAGGAATCAAACAGGGTAAACTATACATATCGGGCTGCTCACATAATCAATACACTTATACACATATACTAAATATCTGAATTATCTGAATGATAATGGAATAATAATGTACACTACTACTCACCACAAGAGTAATCTAATTTCTCCTCCACCTCCATGTCGACGGATCGATTAGCGCTAGAAGGGGAAGAATCTCCATCTTCGGCAAGCCCAGGCACCTTCTCCCGCTTGCGCTTGATTGCAACCATGGGCCGCTCCCCCGCAGCCGAACCCCCACCGTCTTCGTTGGCCCCGTCCGCCATCTGGGAAGAAGACGATGCGGCGCGCTGTTGTTCATGCATGATGGCCATAAAAAAAAAGAAGAGCGCGATTGCATCGAATTGGGAAGAAGAGGGGATCGATGTGCGCGCGTACCAGGGAGATGTCGCCGCCGCCGCCCGCAGAGAGAGAGAGAAGGGGGGGGGGGGGGGGGAACCTAGGGTTTGCTCGCTGCGAGGGCTAGGAGGAAGAACAGGCGGTGTCGTGAATCGTGATAACAGGCGGTAAGGGTTGTTGATGGGCTGGGCTAGCTCTCCTCTTTTCGGCGGCGAATAAGTCTATTATGACTCCTCAAAACCGCAAAACCAGGTATAACGCCTCCCTCATCTTCAAAACCGGGTGCAAATCGATTGCTTTAGTAGTTTCGGAAGCGGTTTTCTATTGACGTGGTGGATTGACCGTGGCTGACTCACCTACTCTCTCCGTTTCATAATGTAAGTCATTCTAGCATTTTCCATATTCATATTGATGTAATTCATTAACATCAATATGAATATGGAAAATGCTAGAATGACTTACATTGTGAAACGGAGGAAGTAGTAAACATGTCTCTCAGCTAGAAAACTAGTACAAATTTTATTATAGTGGGGCCCATATGTCATCTCCTCTTCTCTATCCCTCCTCTCTCCCCTTCCGGTATGATGGGAGCACGCTCTTCGCGAAGGTCCTTGGTGAGATGATGACGAGCTCGACAAGGAGACGAATAGATGTCCGACATCCCTCACCGCGTCACTCACTGGGCACCACCATTGCCTCCTACATGTATGCCTTCTCCATCATGGAGCAGTTTGTCACTTCGGCGTTCTTCTCTGCCTCAGAGGACTTCTCCCTCCTCTCGGGAAAGGTCTCAGACACAACGTTCTTCCCGGGCGATGGGCGTGGAGGATGTGCTGGCCCGGTACTTGTGGAGGCGATGTGTTGGCTCTTCCGCGAAGGGAGCTCCTCCGCTATGGCGATCGTCTCGGATGTGGTGCTCCACTAGGCGTCGCGCGTAGAGCACGGTGCGGCATGACGCTCGCGATTGAGGCTATGTGGTGGCCATTGCTCTGACCTACTGGGCAGTGGCGCCGCATGCGAACATCCTGGCACATGGGCGATGAGCGGCTTCCTCAGACATTGTTGCTTGAACTCGACGCTAGACCGCGAATGCTAATTGGCGCGCGTGCATTGCCGGCGCGTACTTCCGGCCCACAAGGCCCACGCATGCGCGCGCCTTTTTCTTCTTTTTTTCTTTTTTTTTTCGTTGTTCGCTGTTCCTGCCATATGGATAGGAGAAAAAATCGTAATTAGTTTAGATTAGTTTCCTATTTTTACTAATGATTAGTTTACTAGTCATTTTTAAATCTTAACTTTAAAATTTTCAAATTTGAATTTGAAAATTTTCAAATCTCGAGTTGAAAGTTTTCAAATCTCAAGTTCAAAGTTTTCAAATATTTCAAATCTAGACTTGAAAGTTTTCGAATCTCGAGTTGAAAGTTTTCAAATCTCGAGTTGAAAATTTTCAAATCTCAAGTTGAAAGTTTTCAAAATTTTCAAATATGGACTTGAAAGTTTTCAAATCTCGAGCTGAAAGTTTTCAAAATTTGACTATAAAATTTAAATCATAAATCGAAAGTTTTCAAATCCGACTTAAAAATTTTCAATCTGTTAGTAAAAAAATCTCCCGAAAAAAGAAAGAAAAATCTTGAGAATCTTCCCTAATTACCCATCATTAGTGTTAAGTATTAACTAATAGTTATAGGAGAGAAATGCTCGCTGCTGGCGCGCACGCGCCAGCTAGCAGCCCCCATGCTAGACACCGTCTGCACCAGCGTGCCCCTCATGACTAGTTGGTGGAGAGGAGAGTGAGGGAGAGGTGGGGGAAGAAGAAAAGGAATGAATATGACATGTGGGGCCCTCCATATATGTTTTGCTATGTGTCACGACCGGAAATAACCCAAGGGGCGTTCCTTACGTGCGTGCATTATTCCTTGTCCCAGGAGGCAAGGTACATCAAAAGTTGATACAGTTCAGAGTTTAACAAGCGGAAGCGTAAATAGTTAATTTATTACATGGGCGGCGAAGGCCCAGCACACACAAAGACAAACGGGAAACAACGGAAGACTAGGGCGACGACCACAGGCGCTTGACGGCAGGCGCGAGCTAGACACCAAAGCCTTCATCTTCCAGGGGCTCCTCTTCTGGGTTTGGGAAAAATTGAGCAAGACTGAGTACAACCACCGTACTCAACAAGACACACCCACAAGTGCAGGATAAATGCAAGGGAGTACAAGGGGGGTTATAATATAAAGGGTTAGGGTTTGCAGTAAACAGCATTAAAAGACACTTAGTTGCTCAAAGCTATTTTGTAAATACGATCCTAGAGCTATACAAGATTATTAAACGAGGCCGTGAACCCACACGAACCTGCCTTAACCCAAGGCCTACGATGATTCAGACCGAACTGGCAACCCGACCCTGGGTCCCAGCTCGTCCCAAGCCAACCCAGGCCAACCATTCCACATTTTAGTTGTTAAGCAGGTTTTAAGAATTAAAACACTAACTTGGGTACATTGCTCGGCTTGCCCATAACCGAGGGCGCGGCTATTCGAATAGATTATACTCTGATCAGAGGTGTACATCTTTACCCACAAGACACATCTTCCTCACGTGTAACCACGTGCCACATACCACCACGGTATACGGACGGAAGACGTGACATAGTTTCCAACCCATCCTAGCCATAGACAAGAGTACCGACCCAACCCCACCTACGGCCGGAACCTCCGGGACAGGTAGGCAGGACTGAGCCCCTAGCAGCAGGACACCGGCCCTGTACCATGACATCTCGACTACCGGGCCGCAGCTCGTGTAGCCTTCATTTGCCCTAGAGATGTCCATCGACCCCCGACTTCGTCCATCTCCATCCGTGTACTTTTGTTTATAACCAGACTGAGCCACAAACTAAGCCTTACCCACTAGACATGTGGAAGTACGGTAGTGCTTTGCAACAGAGGCCCGAAGACCGGTCCTTATATGGCCGAGGTGCTACTATCAAAACCATGCACCCCGAGCCCAGCCTAAAACCATTTTGAGGATTTTGCATAGAGGGGGAGGTGTGAATCCAATTCCACAATAATCCAACCATTCCATAGTGTCCAGGTGATATAAATATCCCAAAGTCTAGAGTTGTAAAACCACCTAATGTTGCCTAATTAACCAGCGAAGCATCTACCTAAAATCATACTAGTGGTACCATGAGTAGAGTGTCCACTAGTTGGGGTTTTGTTTAATCTAGGGTGAACAAGGTAATAATAACAATAACAATAATAAGGTCATAACAAAGGTAAATAGGCATGGCTAGATAAAACAGTGATAACGCGGGAATTTAAGTAAAGCGATAATGCAATAATTTAAATCAAAATAATTTTATAAACTGGGATTCAATATGCTCAAGGATGATGTGTCTTGCCTTGCTCGCTTTCCCAAACGTCGGCTTCAACCTCCACGAAGAGCGGATCTTCCGAAGCTGCAGCGTCTACACGACCAACGGAAAAGAAAAGGCTTTTACTCTAATAAACTCCATATAACAAGCAGGAACAAAGCACAAAAATGAGTTCTTGACTTCTTAAGGAAAAATTAGAGACTTGAACGGTCCAATTCCGAGTTCAAATGGCCAAGTTATGGTCATTTGAAGTTTATATGCTCTTTAAATGAATATTTGCGAATTTCTTCATTTAAATTTTAATTTTAAAAGAGTTTATTGCGTCAGCCGAGGGGAGAGGGCGCGCGGACCGGGTCCACGGGAGTGGGGCCCACGTGGCAGCCTCACGGTCCACGGTGGACTGGGTGCACCCAGGCTCACACCGGCCGGCGCCGTGGGTCCCACGCGTCAGCCGCACCTAAGGGCGCGGGCGGCTGACGGCCGGGCCCCACGCGGCAGCCACTCGGCGCGCCCGAGGGTGGCCAAGCCGGCGCAGCCGGCGGGAGACGGCGCCCGCGCCCCTATGGTCGCCGGCGGCGGCCATAGGCACGGCGGAGCGGCGGCCGAGAGAGGGGAAGGGAAGGGGGAAAAGAAGCGGCGGTCCACGGCTCACCCTAGGTCAACGGCGACGACGAAAAAGGCGGCCGGAGCGGAGGAAGGCGGCGGCGCGGCTCGGGTCGACGGGGTCGACGGCGTTCCGGCGGTCGGCGAGCGAAACGGGGGGGGGGGGGGGGTGGACGAGGTCGGCGAGGATGCGGCGAAGCCGAAGGAGGCGGCGCCGAGGTGGGAGGTGGTCCGGGGCGACGACGACGGCGGACCGGAGCTCGGTGGCGACGGCGGAGAGAGAGAGCGACGGCGCGAGCTCGATTCCGGCGAGAGGCGGAAACGGACGGAGGAGGTGCGGGGAGGGTTTAAATAGGGTTGGAAGGGGGGGAGAGCGGCCGGCGGGGAAGGAATAGGCGCGGGAGGTCCGGCCGCCATCAATGGCGCCGACGAGATTTGCGGGGGCAAATCCGCCCGTTTGAACGCGAGAGAGAGAGGGAAAAATGGGGGGAAAGGGAGAGGGGATCACGGGGAGTGATTTCCCCCTCTTTATTGCACGCGGAGACGGCGGGAGGCGGCGGGATTCGCGGCGGCGGCGGCGCTAGGGCGCGGGCGAGGCGGCAGGAGCGGCGGGAGGAAGGGGATGACGGGTGGGCCCCACCCGTCAGCGAGGGTGGCGGGCGGGCCCGCCCGTCAGCGGCGCGCGCGCGGGGAGAGGAGAGGGAGGGGGAGGGAGATGGGCCGAGCCGGCCCAAGAGGGAGAGGGAGGGAAAGGGGACTTTTTAGAGTTTTTCTTTTTATAAAATCATTTTAACTTTGTTTATTTCTTAATAATTATTATTTGTGCTCTGAAAATTCCACTAAAATTTATTTACGCATTTTAGGTTTTTAGGAAATATACAGAAATCCCCCAAGCCTTATTTGACTTTTAACTTTGCACCTTTTAATTGTTGGAGGCTTTCACACGGATTTTAATTATTCTAGGTATAATTTAGAGGATGTATTTTAGAGTCGTTTTGGGACGTGACACTATGTCTCACTAACATCTGGCCCCACCTGATGACTTAACAAGTCAACCACTGTCAATCTATCATGTCGGCAGAAACTACTTCCCAAACCATTGAATGAGTCGATTTGCACTGGTCTTAAAATATGGAAATACGTTATACCTAGTTTTATAATTGTAGGAAGGAGACGGTTCGATCAAGAGTAAGA